CTTTTGACAGATCCATAAATAATCCAATACAGTAATTGCCTTCGTCGATTTGTTGTGATATAAAATTTGCAATATTTAATACACCCATAGAAGTTGAAAATTTTTCACCGAAACCAAATTTTTCAGGTATGAGGATGTCATTAATTTGAAGGTAGGAATACAATCTTTTATGAACAACTTTTTCTAAAATTTTGGGGAAAAAATGGTAACAATGATATAGGTCTGTAGTTTTCCAAATTTTGAGGGTTTTTCTTTTTGTACACAGGTATAATCTTGGAAACTTTGAGTCTGTCAGGTATAATCCCTTGTGATAGAGATTTATTAAATATTATACAAAGCTGAGCAACAATTAAATGAATAGAGTCCTTAAGAACGTTGGGGGCCATATCATCAGACCCACTTGCTTTAGATGATTTCATAGAAGAAACAATTTTTAGAATTTCATATACAGATGTAGGTTTTAGGAATAGAGAAGAGTAGCTCCTATCAACAGGCATGAAGTCACGAAATATATATGAGAAGAGGTAGGTATATCCTGAGAAATTTTGTCAGCAATATTGACAAAATAATGGTTAAAGGAATCTGAGATAACATGAGGTGAGGAAAGCTGAACATTTTCATGATACATTTTCGCAGGAATATTTTGACGCCTTTTCCCTAAAAGTCCATTGATATTAATCCAAGTTTTTTTCATGTCACCTTTTATCTTATGAAACATAATATACAAATATTTCTTTTTAGAAGATCTTATAGTAGCAGTAAGTGAGTTTTTATGTTTTACATATTTTCTCTTACTTACAGATTTTTTCAAGTATTTATGATATAATTTCTGTTTGACATGAATTGATTTTGATATACCAGTTGTAATCCATGGTCTTTTACACTTCAATTTAGAGTTACGCCTCTGAACAATAGGGAAACATTCATTATACAAATTGGATAATATATGAATAAATAAGTCATATGATTTGTTTGCATCTATAGTATTTTGAACTGGAGTCCAATCAACATTCAAGAGTTTGTATTTAAATTGTAAAAGTTGATTATTATTAATAAGTCTACCATTGGGGTGGTGTTGACACTTGCATATTCAATAATCTGTGTATTGTTCACACACCATACTGGGAAGTGGTCTGATATATCAGAATAAATTAGACCGCTCTGTAAGTCGTTGTGTAAGCAATTAGTAAAAAATATTATCGATAAGTGTAGCTGTATTTGGGGTAATACGTGATGGTTTTGTGATCAGAGGAAACATGTAGTGTGAATACATTGTATTTAAGAAATCATACGTTTTAGTATCACTAGAATAATTTAGGAGATTTATATTAAAGACCCCAAGTAAGTAACTTTCTTTTTTTTTCATTACACAACTTGTGCAAATAATAGGCAATTGTCTCAGTAAATTCAGTTATATCAGTGCTGGGGGACCGATACACACAGCCTATAACAATCGTTTTCTTTTTTTTCTTGTGGTAATTCAATAAATACAGTTTCGCAGTATGATGTACTTTTACAAAGTTCTGATCGAATTGCAAATTCAAAAGAATTATTGATATAAATGGCAACACCACCACCATATTTTCCAGATCTGTCAGTATTGACAAGCGAATAACCATCCAATGCAAACATATTATCAACAGTATTTTCTCTGAACCAGGTTTCAGCTATTCCTATAGCTGTAAATGCATGATTCAAACTTGTCAATAACAACTGTAACTCATCAAAATTTCTCGGGAGACTTCGAGCATTTACATTTAAAATTGAAAAACTTTGGTTTGAGTTCTAAAACTTCGATTTAAATTTATCTGGGAACAAGTATTTACAGTTACGTTCTGGAAAATAGTCATCAGATTCGGATTGAAAGGTAGTATCAACTAAGATATTGTCAGAATTGGTGAGATCATTGTCCATTTCAAAAGGGTTTACTGATAGACATTGTAGTCTTTCAATATCTATATTTTGATTCAGTTTAAAGTAACTATATAGATTCCAGAGAAATTCATTGTCTGATAAACAGTTGTTAAATGGGAATATCTCAGCATTACACTGGGTACAGAAAGATGCATGTGTAGATATTTGAAAACATGAGTTAAAGTGAGCTTTACATAGCTTGCAATAATTAACCATTTCACAATGTAAGAAAAAAGACAAAAGAAAAGTATAACAACAATATCAAAATCACACACGAGCAGTGGAAATCACACACAGTCACACACAAAACACACAATAACTGTTAATAGTTTGTACAGTATGAATATTAAAATTTTCAAAAAGTTCAAAAAGTTCCAAAGAAAGATGCATGTGGAATACCAGGAAAAGCATCTTCACATCATGGTGCATGCAGTAAATTGATATCCAAGGTACTCAATCTTGGATTGATTTTTTTTAAAGTCGATTGTGCAAAATTCAGAGAGAGTTCAGTTGATCAAGTGAGCTTATCAACTTCTTCATTGGTTTACTTCCTGTTGTCTTGACTGCTGCTTCGTTCATTCTCCCCTATCGTAGCATGGCAATTGATACATTTTGTTTAGTCTCACAAGGCCTCGTTTAAGAAGAAAAAAAAAGGAAAGAGAAAAGTAACGATTTCTTCCAGCGAAGTATTTTTTTGCGTTGTAAATTTTCTAAAACCAAAGTTAACCGTAGTACTATATTAACTATAATAGGAAACTTATCTTTCACCAAGCCACAGATCTGTCGTTCAGTTATCGATGTTTTTATTCATGGGGCAAGGCGATGGTTTGATAAATTGAAAAAAAAATCATTTCTATGCCGAGTGAAAGATCCAACGCCCACGACAATTCGCCCGGAAAAATATTCTTGAATACATTTTCGATTGATTTTTTTTGTGGCACATCCATTTATGATCTTTTCAACATGTTCAAGGATGGTATCCGCTAAAGATGGAATCTGCTTCTAAATGCCAAAAAATAACAATTTCAAATATTATCAAGCAAGCATCAGAATCCAATACATACATGCTAACTTTGTCATCAGTTCTACGTTTCACGGAGAGAGTGTTTTATTGTTCAATAAACCTTGTGCTATATTAAAACTGTTAACATTTTTCTTCTTCTCATATATGGTATTGTTACTAACTTATTCTTGCGATCTCTTCAAAGCATTTGCTTTTCATAATCTAGATATATCTGATTGTGATACTAGATTCATAAAAAAAATTGATAAATTGATGTTGATACCTTCAAGAAACAAGACACAGGCAGTGCCTCATCTTAAGCCTTTTTTTTTCATTGCCCTGGGGAATTATGTCCACGGCAAACAGGACATGGTTTCGTATAAACGGGTCTCATCAAAAGAATCCTGAGTACCGTTGCTTTCTCACTAAAACGTTTTTGAGAAAAGGCAGCAGAAGCTATAATATAGTTCAAATATTCCATAAAGAATTATACTTTTTGTTCTCAGGCTTGAAAATGTCTTTCCAGTTTCAGACTGCAAATTTTGATATTTTTTTTTAAATAAAAAAAGCTCAGTCTAAATATCGAAAGTTTGAAGACTTGCTCTTCCGTCACAACTTATTTTCTTTTTAGATAACCCGTGTTAATTTTGTCAGCCATTTATGATACGAGATATTTGACTTTTATTTCAAAATTAATCCATAGATGTAAAGGCTTGAATATGTAATGTAATTTATTTTTCTCCAAATGTTGAATTATTATAATTACAGTGACGCAAAAATTCATGCCTTTTTTTCTGGAATACGAATTATAGTACAGTTGGGATTGGCATTAATTCCTCATTCCCTCTATTTTCAAAGACTATACTAAAATTAACTATCCTTTTGGGCCTATAACTCTCAAGCATAGTTTTTATTATATTTTTGATCAATGAAAATCATGTTCAGTAATTCGTCAACATAGCATCATGCGACAAAACATAACATTGCTATGATGTAACCGTGACTTCATCCATGGTATAGTACACTATACCATGGCACTATACCATGGATGACGTCGTATATATTCGATCGATCAAGATCAATGTGCTATCGGTCGCGGTAGCGGTATTGTCGTCTGTGCTGCTCTCACTGCACTCTACACTACTTCAGTGACATTTAACATGATTATTATTATTGTTATGAAGGTTGGTTTGAAAAATATAAAACAAATATATCATGCACTTTTTCAAGCCACTAGTTAACATTTTGGATTCCTCGGCGACAGAAATGGCACTATTTTCTTCGTGGCTACGCCCCTCAGAAAATAGTGCTTTTCCTGCCACCTCGATCCATAATTTCAACTAGAGCCTCTCAGTGCATGGTAAATTTGTTTACTATATGACCCTCCACAATTCAATCTTTTGTTAAGTTCAGTCTTTTTATAATTAAATGCATGCAAACAAATCTATATAATGTCGTAACTTCTGTTTGTCCCTGTTAATATAATTCATGTTTATTTCTACCATTTAATTTATGAAACCATATGGTTGGAATACTCCCAAGGTAGTGGAGATGGTGCTCATTGTTCGTGAATGAATCCGATTCGGTAATAACAACATTTTTTAAGCGCTTAGAGACGGTATTTATTACTGAGCGCTACACACACATCCAGGGGGTGTTTCACAAAGATTTTAAGTCGAACTTAACTCCATTATCGACTTAAAAATTATGGAGAGCATTTGTAGCCTTAAAATAAAATATATTCAAAAGCAAAATTTCAAGTATTTTAGACTTTTCATAAATTCTTCATCAAGAACATGAAATCTCCCATGATAATAGAAAATATGAATGATATGAATCAACATTTCATGCCTTTTGAAATAACTTTTACACAATATTTGCAAAGTTGCTAACGGCTTTCCATAACTGTTAAGCCCAACTTAGACATAAGTTCAACTTAGGGTCTTTGTGAAACACCCCCCCCCCCCCTGATCATTATCCTTATGCTTCACCCTCATTCCTGCACTCTCTCTTGACACGCAGGTGGTGATATTTTGGGGCTATATGAACAGCCTGATCAACCCGATTTGTTACGCTCTTGCAGACGAGGCGTTCAAGGATGGATTCATACGGATCCTGAGCCTCAGATGTCTCCAGGGTAACAGGAACCTGCTGTCTCTTAGAGCCGGCGACTTCTAGACAGATCTACCCTTTCGATTTTTATTTTCTTCGGGAGCGGGGAAGGAGGGTGTGGGGGTGCTCAAGGACCGTTGTATAAAAATCTGGACTTTCAGAACGGTGATAGAAATTTGCCTTTTTTATAGAGCGAGTAGTAGCAAGACCAGTAATTTTAGATATAGGCATCGATAGGCGTGTATGTGTGTGTGTGTGTGTGCATGTAGGGGTGTAGTGGTGCGTGTGTGCGTGCGTGCGTATTTTGGAAAAAGGTGTGAATTCATACTTGATTTTTGATGTATTTTTCTATAGTTTACATTTTGAGTTTTTAATTTTCTTGATGAAAGATAAAAATCAAATGTACCATGCACTTTCTTCGAGACACCTGTAAATTACGTTCTGAGGTCATATTTATTACAGTTTTAAACAGTTTCATTCACCAGCATGTTGTAAACACTTTAAATGTAAATACCAAAAAAAATGATGGACCTATATTGATGCTAGCTAAAAATTTCAATATGGTTGTTATATAATGATATTTTACATGTGATTGTTATTTGTTTTACTTTTTATTACAGCTTAAATTAAATCATAAGATTTTTTATATTTGATTATATGGATAGTCCCATATCTTATATCTGATATCTATCCAAACTCACAGAACGAGTGGCTTTCTAACGTCTTCGCACATATCTTATTAAAACATAATTTAATTGATAATTTTCAATCTGCCTACCGCCCACACCATAGTATGGAAACGCTGCTAACTAATCCTGTGGACAGTATCCTCTCTGAAATGGATAAAGGTAACATTACTTTTCTTGTGCTACTTGATATGTCAAGTGCTTTCAACACTATTGACCACACAATACTTGTTAAGAAACTACAGTCTCTTAGGGGTAACAGGCACTGCGTTGCAGTGGTTTTCATCATACATTCATAAAAGAACCCAGTATGTCTCTGTAAATAACTCTTAATCCGACAAAACTTATCTTTCATATGGTGTGCCACAAGGGTCTGTTGGTGGCCCGTTAATGTTTTCTGTCTACCTTGAGTCAATTAGTACAATAATTAGAAAGCATAATATAAAATATCATTGTTACGCTGATGACATTCAACTTTCATTTCTGTACATCCTTCCTCAGATGCAATTGCCGATGCTAGGAGAACTTTAGAAGCCTGTATTCATGACATGAAAGGCTGGATGGATTCCAACGGTCTTAAAATAAATGAAAATAAACCTGAGTTTATCATGTTGGGCTCTAAGAATTCTTTACTGAGAGCAAATCAACCTCATTTAAGCTTGCATGTAGGTGGCGAAGTTCTAAAGCCAGCCTCAAAGGTCCGTAACCTCGGTGTGATATTTGACAATAATATGTCATTTATTGAACATGTATCTAGCACATCAAAGTCTGTGAGATATCAACTGCGGAACCTTGTTGGGTTCATACGAAAATCTCTGACTCAAAAGCATGTGAACAATTAATCCATGCTTTAATCTCATCTCGCTTAGATTGTTGTAATTCTATTCAATTTGGACTCACAAAACAGCAGCAAGACAGACTGCAATCCCTCCAAAATTCCAGTGCAAGACTCCTTACTTTCACACCAAGAATGTCTTCTATTACGCCTATATTACGCTCTCTTCACTGGCTACCTGTCCAGAAAAAGGTCCACATCAAAATTATGTTACTTGTTTATCGGGCTCTCCCTGGAATTTCGGCGCAGTATATTAAAGACTCACTACACCCCTACAATCCAACTCGTACCTTAAGATCTGGAAGTGATAATTTGCTGCAAATTCCCCGTACCCGTCATTCATGGGGAGACCATGCTTTTTCGCATGCAGCAGCCAAATTATGGAATAAGCTTCCCTCATCACTTCGCTGTGTTGCAACGTACTCCACCTTTAAAACTCATCTTAAGACTTGCCTATTCCATCTGTAAGTTGTATCAGTTTATTTTAATGAATCCATAATTTATATGTTATTTGTATATACATCTGAAATTAATTAGTTATCACCCTTTAGTCTCATTGGCTGTCCGTGTGGGGCCTGTTGGCCTCAGATGCTAGAGCTCCTGTGAATAATGTGCTGACTGGGCTAGTCCCTTAAATTGTCAGTGAACAGAGCAGTTGGAGGGCACCGGCCCTCATCGGGCAGAGCAGAGGATTCAAATGGGTTATAAAAATATTGCAAAATTATTTACTTTACTTGTATCAAAGAGAACTGTTGCTGAGCTAGCGCCATGAGCGTCCCGGGATGGTGTGTGCGCTCTATAAATTTGCACTATTACTATTATAAGGACCCCCTCCTTTTCTGACTGCTACCAGGCTAAGCAATTTTCCTTGTGTTTTTAACGATATTTATTCATATTTGTAAATGGATTTTTTTCTTCTTCTGTGTTCAACTTTGTTATTAATTGTAATTGTGTGGTATCTGGTATATTGTTTTATTCACTATTACTATTATAAGGACCACCTCCTTTTCTGACTGCTACCAGGCTAAGCAATTTTCCTTGTATTTTTAACGATATTTATTGATGTTTGTAAATGGATTTTTTTTTCTTCTTCCTTGTTCAACTTTGTTATTAATTGTAATTGTGTGGTATCTGGTCTATTGTTTTATTCACTATTACTATTATAAGAACCACCGCCTTTTCTGACTGCTACCAGGCTAAGCAATTTTCCTTCTTTTTTTAACGATATTTATTCATATTTGTAAATGGATTTTTTTTTTCTTCTTCTGTGTTCAACTTTGCTATTAATTGTAATTGTGTGGTATCTGGTCTATTGTTTTATTCACTATTACTATTATAAGGACCACCTCCTTTTCTGACTGCTACCAGGCTAATCAATTTTCCTTGTATTTTTAACGATATTTATTGATGTTTGTAAATGGATTTTTTTTTTCTTCTTCTGGGTTCAACTTTGTTATTAATTGTAATTGTGTGGTATCTGGTATACTGTTTTATTCACCCTGTATGCTTGTTTATTGCTTGGCAAAATAAATTGAATTGAATTGAATTGAACACTATATTTAATTGCGGTGATTTGTCGGTTACGAACAGATAGTCATGGCAGGCTTAGATATTTTATAAAACTAGAAGCTATCTTGACAGTACTTCAACAGGAAGCTGGATAGAGACACTTCGTCACATCAAGCTACGAGAAAGCATATCATCATTTCACCGAAATCTACTCGAACACCGCATCCAAATCAGGTAGGCCCAACATCTCTTACATTATGTCTGTTACATATGAGACGTCTTTCTGACTTCGTCAGTTTGTAATTGTATTGATAATGATTTCGATTATTTAGTAGCGCTAAAACGAAAAGTACCTTCGATGCTACTTATTAAGTATCGGCTTGCTTGGTGATGTAGATATAGTAGGCTTACACACACTCAAGACAGAAAGAGTATCGACAATCATTTTTAGGACTCCCCAGTCCCCCCCCCCCCCTCTCACATGGTGCAATCGTAAGCTACTCTATACAAAGTAACATAATGTGATGAGAAACATAAAACTCAAAAATAGGTAAATCAAACTTTATTACTAAGAGAAGAAATATGTTTAATGAGTCTTTTGAAAGAGGCGAGACAGCTTAATTCTCTGATGGAAAGGGGAATGTTGTTCTATGTTTTTGAAGCAGCAACTGTATAGTGTTTTTTGGTGGTTGACTGGTGTGGATTTGGGAATAACTAATGTATATTCAGTTGTTGCCTGCATTTCTTCAGACATTTCTTCGCCTCTTTTTGAGCGGGCTTTTAGTGCACATTAATCAGGAGCTATGCTTTGGCAACTCTGAGGGGTGCGATGGCCCAGTGACCTCGTAATCGGGAGGTCCCGGGTTCGTAACACTAAAGGGCGCTATAGGCGTCCTTTGGTAAGGCATTAATCCTCATTACTCACCTTGAGTTATTACACTGACTCTTTGCTTACACAGATGTAGTGGTACGCTAATTTAGGCAACACATTGAAATAAAGGGGGCGCTATAGCAATATAGGAGTCGGGTTGAGTTGATCAATTGTACGGTTATTAGTTTGACTTTATATACATCTAAAAGTTGAATAGCATTAATTATGTTCCCGATAGTATGCCGGGAACGGGTAAACAACCCCTGGTCTTGAATTCCTGCATTAGATTACAGGTGTTCATTTTCGATAATTACGTTAGACAATAGACTGTTTTTCTGGGGACCTGACATTCTCGCGAAGCTATAGACTCCTCTCATTTTCGTCGGTGCCTAGTTCAAGTCACTCTATCTATTATGCTTTGTCATTGTTTAATTAATACTCCTCTCTTAAAGAGAAGGTTGAGTTTTGGGAAGAGGTGAAAAATAATTTGTGAGCATTATCATTCTTATCATTCAAGTGTGGAAGAACATCAGATAAGACATGTTCCCTGAAAAGCATGGCTCTTCAAATGCCTTCATATTCTAAATATGTCATGTAACATCGTAAAACTCCAGGGTATGATTTTTACGCCACGTGTTCGTGTAGTCCCATATACATCTTTCTGTGTACAGTGTTTGTAACTTTACCAAGACTTGGCCAAATTTCTTATCATTTTGATGACTCCAGAACCTTGCAATACACACAAATTCTTACATGCTGGATGATCAACCTTTTCTGGTTGATTCTACACCGTTTCTTTCACAATGCAATCGCATGACCAGAACTCAACTTCATCTTTAATTGGTGGATTGAACTGATCTAGAGGTCGGATGACCCAAGGGTTATTTTATATATCATATCTTGTAATTGGTTGTCTTCGTAAGGGTCCTCCTGATTGGCTAATATTATCATGTGATATTTAAGCCTCGTCGGGTGCCGGAGTATTTAAATGCCATATGTGCGGGATTTTGTAGCTGAGTTTTATTTCATTCCGTTACCATGTTTAGGATATGCTGCTAGTTTTACTCGTCTATAGGGCCGCCCAGCCTCTGAGAGAATCAGCTATTTCAAAATGTTCTTAAATAATTAATCTTCGTTTGTAACTACTGGAGCTTCCGCTGACTTTATAAATAATAAAGTGGACTTCAACTGTATATCCGAGCTTCTTTCGTTTTCATTTTGTTTCTGAACTTGTCGTCACCGACCCATTACGGGCCCATTACACAGACTTACAAGTACCTTCCTAAAGTTGTCATCACTAAAACACAAATTGGCAACACTGTAACGTATATTGCGACCCCCTCTTCAACTGTACCGACAATTTCATAAACTTTAATTTTCTCAGTTATTGATGACTGAGCAAATTATCGGCCGGCACAATTTTCAATTTATTTTGGAAAAAAAAAAAAATAATGGTGCTCCTTGGGGGGGGGGGGGGGGGGGGGGGGGATGTGAACAATTTTTTTTTTTTTTTGGGGGGGGGGGGCCCTCGATAATTTGAAAAATCGCACCCCCCCCCCCCCTTGAGCGCCATCTCCACAAAAGGGTAAAATTTATGTGTTTTAACTATATTTTTTCTCAGAGGAGCCCCTCCCCCCCTCCTGAATCCGCCACTGATAGAAGGTCCATGATTTCAGAAAGCAAAGAATATGATTGAATGAAGACATTCTGAAGCCTTCCCCTTGCATTGATCAGAGCTACCCGCAATTCCCGTATTTTAAGGCAGCCTGTCGTCTCGAAGCCCGTTCTTTAGTTGAGCGCAATTTGTTCCTTTAGTTTCCGTTATAACTTCATATTGTTCGATTTCGGCTTGGTTAGTCAATGAATTTTTTATGACATGAAGAATGCGATGCATATATATATATATCTATATTTATATTTTAATATCTCTAATGTTCACCTTATAATATTCATATTTGTCTTGCAATGTATCTTTGTATTTTATCAACATGTACATAATTGTTTTCCCTCTCTGTCCATCTGTCCCCTTTCTCCCCTCTCTCTCTCTCTCTCTCTTTCTCTTTCTCTTTCTCTCTCTCTCTCTTTCTCTTTTTCTTTCTCTCTCTCCTGCTTTCCCATCTCTCTTTCTTTTTAACTCAAATTTTTAAATTGAAATATTGTAAAAGATTAATGGTATATAGTATATTCACGCTCTTCATAATTATGTAGATTGCAGTGTGACATTTTAAAATGTATACTTGCTTTTATCCAGCAATTTACTCATGTGCAATTCAGTTACTTTTTACTGTGATATCACTTGAAATGTATAATTGTCTTCACCATCAATGTTTTATTCATGCACAATTCAGTTACTTGTAACTGCGATACATGGAAATGAATCAATAAATACCATTTATTTATTTATCTATCTATCTTGTGTTCATTCTTGATGAGCGGTAAAAGGAAAGTTTCAGTACGTCGCGAATCTATGCTGACATTCTCAATCGTGTTGCAATTTCACCGTAGCTATGTACCGACTCAAAAATGTATTTCATGTTTATTCCATTTTCCTTAGACTTTAAAAATGGCGTCCAAAACCATGATTGCTCTCTACTTTCTGATTGCCTTGGCCGTGGCAGCAAGTGTTTTAGTCGAGGAAGATGAGATCGACAATTCTAATGCGTTGAATGTCGAGAAAAACGTCAAAGGCGGTGAGCAATTAATTTCTAATGTTGTCAACCAACTAAACGAATACCATTACAAAGCAACCGACCAAGTAATTTCATGCTTGTGCGGTCACATATTAAAATTTTCCAACATGTCATTGATTTTTCGACATTATCCGACCAGATTTTAAGAAAGTTTGCACTGACAAGAAAGATACTTTCTATCAATTTTTTTCCTTGCCGATGATTTTTTGTGATAAATTGAGTTGCCAACCGAATTTCGTTTAATTTGATTTGTTGATTTATTATTCTTTCGATCATTTTTCGTCTTTTATTTTGGTATTGTTTTAGTCAAGGAAGATGAGATCGACAATGATAATGAGTTGGATGTCGAGGAAGACATGCCTTATACTCCCCGCAGGAGTAGAAGTAAGCAATTAATTTCTAATCTTGTCAACCAACTAAACGAATACGATAATTACAAAACGACCGACCTATAATAGTACAGCGGATTAGCTCCCCATATAACGAGAATTGTGCACTTTTTGATAAAAGCATGAAACTTCTAGCATAGTTAGTTTAGACCATAAGATTCATTTTCAGATGTGGAGGGAAGTCAGATTTGACCTCTGATGACCCTGAGAGGTCAAATTCAAAATGGCCGCAAGTCCGCATGGTCTAATGTACAAACACGCTTAACTTTTGAACCAAATAGTCCAGAAAAACATTTAAGGTGTCGTTTCCAACTAAATTGAGGATGCCAATGCATTTGGTAATACTTTTGAGATCGCCAGATTTTGGGCTTTGGCATTTAGGTCAAGGTTAAGGTCAAAATTGACTAAAAATAGCAAGTTTTCAATGTTTACAACGAAACAAATCCCATTTATTTGTCATTTGTTCGCTCCTATGTTCTCAAATTTCTTTTAGAGTGGTTCCCCTGCAGACCATGAGATTCATTTTCAGATGTAGAGCGAAATCAGATTTGACCTCTGATGACCCTGAGAGGTCAAATCAAAAATGGCTGCCAGTCCGCCGCATAGTCTAATAATTGTCCAAACACGCTTAACTCTTGAACTAAATAGTCCAGAAAAACGTTTAAGGTGTCATTTCCAACTAAGTTGGGGATGCCAATTCATTTGGTAATACTTTTGGGTACGCCAGAACTCTGGGCTTTGCATGAAGTCAAGGTCAAGGTCAAAATTGACTAAAAAAATAGCAAGTTTTGAATGTTTACAAAAAGTTTTCCCATTTATTTGTCCCCCTATGTTCTCACATTTCTTTAGGAGTGGTTCCCGGCCCTGCATAGTCTCCATCGTAATCCCTGTCAGTTAGTTTATTTCACTAATTATAGCACCAAACCAGTAGTTGTCTTGTAACTGACCATATCAGTGGGCAGCTAGGCAGTATACGGTACAAACCTCAGTTCAAGTCAGGGAAACTGCTCCTTTCCGTTACTGCTCAATAATACTGGTAAGATGTTCTTTAAGTTACTTTGTGTTTTATTTGGTTTAAGTAATTTAAATAATCGCTACAGAGTTTGAGGAACATGCCATAAAGCAAACGAACGTTTCTGCTAACACTATACAAACATCACCTTGACCAGCAACCTGGAGTGCAGGCAGCATTCTTGAGGGATGCATGGGAACTTCTGACAGTACTGAAAGAGATGGGGAATCCATCTCTAGAACAAAGTCAAGACATACTAGTCATTGGCACAAGCGACATATCATGGACATCCAATTGGCTGAAACGGGGAGAAGGATTGAGACCCTAGGTGAGCAGTACACAAAGTTTGTGACAGAAAGGCTAGAGCAGTGTACGACACCTAGCTGTCACACAAACACTTCATACGAACAAGTTGCCATTTTTCAGTCGGCAGCCGGCGAAGGTTATATATATATATGTTAAAACAGAAGGCACAGCTTGCAGCACTTAAGAGTGACTGTGGTCACTTTTTGAGGATTTACATCTCGTGTCAGACAAGGGATGGAGATATGGACAATTTCTTCTCTCATGAAAACCAGGCAGTCCCGCCAGCTTTGTTAACTGGAGGTAAATGCGGTTTGGAGTTAAAGCAGATCTACTTCGCTGCCTGGAATCAAATCTGCTCGAAAACAATAGTGCACCTGTGGCCCAAGCAATAATTATTGATGGTGAAGCTGTGGTTCAAATGCTCAACCCTGGAACATCAAGAACATTTCAAGAGTATGGAGAAAAAGTGTTTGCCCCATACATCTTTGCTCAACTCGAGAAAAGCATCCGCATCCGCATCGACCTTGGCTATGGTGTATACTTACCTGCTAGCCTGAAAGCCTCAATAGGGCAGGAAAAGGGAAAGGGCACCAGAAAAAGGGTGGCTCCTTCTATTTTGCTGCCAGAAAGCTGGAAGGACTTCCTTCGATTCAATGAGAACAAAACCGAATTGTTTGATTTCATGTCACGCGAAGCCGTTTACCTTCCTCTACCACAGGGCAAGGAACTGTATAATATGCAACAGATTGAAGTGGAGTAGTCTGCTCTGCTGCTGAGTCACACTTGGCAGGCCTTGTCCAATGGGTGTAAAAGGGTATCCATACGTATTGTTGGTACTGATGCGGTTGAACTGGCCGTGGCTTCATTTAGCAAGACAGCTCCTGATGCTGGGGATCGCTTTTGGTGTCAGATCAAGCTTTCGGTACAAGGCTTTTCATAAAATCATGATAGTTGCCACCATGAGTCTGACACAATGTATGACTCTTCCAATCTTTCATGTTCACCGGGTGTCACACTGTTTCTACATTCACAGGAAAAACTTAGAAGTCTTTCCCAGAGGTGAATGATTCCTTCAATGAACTCCTGTGCATGCCTAGGGAGGTCAGTGAAGGATCAATGTTACTGCCAGAGCGATTTGTGGTGCTAATACGACCGAACCAGTGAGAGCATGATAGTGAATGATGCCAGGAAACAGCTCTTCGCACAGAAGTCTAGAAACCTGGAGAACTTTCCTCCATCCCAGGCAGCACTCAAGCAGCACCTCAAGCGCACTTGCTACCAGGCCAACTGTTGAAACCAGATATTGGCCAAGAATCCAGAGATGCAGAGCCATCTGACTTGGGCTGGACAAACGAAACAACTGGGTGGCAGCCTCTTTGGACCACTCTCCCGGAAGCATAAAAATTGTGGCATGAATAATCCACTGTCGCTGCAAGAAAGGATGCACTGAACTGTGATCTTGTTCTGGAGACTGTTAGATTTTGATCGTTACCATCATTAGGATATGCATAAGTTGTGGACAGTGCTAAATTCATGTAAATATCTATAGCTGTGGTTATGAACAGGTTTTAGGTCGTATTTGGAATAGCTTTTTTTGTCTTCTGGGCCCAATTTCATAAAGCTGCTAACCGGTAAGCAAATTTTCGTGCTATAACTGTAGCAGACAAATTTGGTTAGCAAGAAAACAAGGCGTCCACCTTGTACGTTCACAATGGATTGCATTGTTACAAAATTCATTTTCGTCCAGTAAGCAGCGTAAGGTTAATGCATTTTCGTGTGCTTTCGGTTAGCAGTGCTTTGAAGTAGAAATTAATACGTAAGCACAGAACCAGCCGATAAGCAGCTCTATGAAATTTGGCCCTGGATAGTCAAAGTGGTGGTACACGGGTCTTTTTATTAATTTTTAAAATAATGAAACCTTAAGTGTCAAAATAGAGGCAAAGTTTATTTTAAAAAAGAAAACAGCACTTGTTTGGCCTAATATGACCTTTAACTTGACCTTATTGCAAATCCCTGAGTTCTGGCGATCTCAATGTATTACGTAATGAATTGGCATCCCCAAGTTAGTTGGAAATGACACCTCAAACGTTTTTCTACACTGGTTCAAAAGTTACCACGTTTGTACATTAGACCATGCGGACTGGCGGCTATTTTGGATTTGACCTCTTAGAGTCATCAGAGGTCACATCAAACTGTTAAATACACTAACTGAAAAGGATTAAGGTGGAGAACTCTGCAGGGGAACCATTCCTTAATAAATTTGAGAACATAGCTAGGGAGAACAAATGACAAATAATGGGGATTTAACCTTCTGTAACCATTCAAAACCTGCTATTTTTAGTCAATTTTGACCTCGACCTTGACATAAATGCCACACCCTGAGTTCTGGCGATCTCAAATGTACTACCAGATGAACTGGCATCCCCAATTTAGTTGGAAATGACACCTTAAATGTTTTTCTGGATTATTTGGTTCAAAAGTTACTGCGTTTATACATTAGCCCTTGCAGACTGGCAGCCATTTTGGATTTGACCTCTCAGTTTCATCAGAGGTCTAATCAAACTGAAATAGACTACCTAAAAAGGATTAAGGTGGAGGACTATGCAGGGGAACCATTCCTAAAGAAATTTGAGAACAAATGACAAATAAACGAGATTTAACCATTTGTAACCATTCAAAACTTGCTATTTTTAGTCAATTTTGACCTTGACCTTGACCTAAATGCAAAACCCTGAGTTCAGGCGATCTTAAAAGTATTACAAAATGAATTGGCATCCCCAAGTTAGTTGGAAATGACACCTTAAATGTTTCTCTGGACTATTTGGTTCAAAACTTAAGCATGTTTGTACATTAGACCATGCGGCCTGGCGGCCATTTTGGATTTGACCTCTCAGGGTCATCAGAGGTCAAATCTGACTTCCCTCCACATCTGAAAATAAATCTTATGGTGAAAGCAAACTATGCTAGAAGTTTCATGCTTTTATCAAAAAGTGCACAATTTTCTTGCTAAGCCGCTGCACTATAATTCCAAGAGTCGTATATAAATGCTTGTGCGGTTACCTATCGAAATGTGCTAACATGACAATGATTTTTCGACATAATCCGACCAAATACTTTCTATCATTTATTATCCTTGCCGGTGATCTTTCGTGATAACTTTAGTTACCAACCAAGTTTTGTTTGATTCGATTTGATTTATTGATTTATTATTGTTTTAATCATTTTTTAATCTTTTATTTTTGCATCATAGAGTGTACGCACTTAAAAAAAAAGTTAGACTAGGTTGTTTTCGTAAGTCAAGCATGAACAATATTTCCAAATCTAAAAAAAAATGCATAAGAAATAGAATGCTCCTTCTATGAATGATAATAATCCACCTCTCCATTTTTCGATACGACACCTCTATCACATAGTTATGAAAATGAGAAAGGTCAAGGAAGACAAACTTGAAAAGTCGGCAATATATTTCTTTCGCTCTTATCTTTACCACCTCTGTTACCAGCCTCAAAATGATCAATGCCATTGTGAACGTAATGATTAGGTTGATAATAGCAATACTTTTAACGCTGATATATGACTCGTGGATGTGCAGTACAGACATAAACAATTTTATTGGTAATATTTACGATGGTCATGATCACTGGCATTGTAATTTTAAATGAATGTGTTGTTGTTTTAAAGAATACAAATTAAGGAGTACTTAACAATCATGACACAAGAAGGCTTTTAAGTGCGCATAATTTCGATCAAAGAGACTTTGCATAACATTTTTTTTAAAAACATTATGAAGGGCATGCTTATTTTCTATAGAAGTCAGGCTCTACCCAATCCATATTTTTCCCATATGTATCTTCATAATTGTTAGGGTTGCGTGAAATTTTACACATAAGAGGGGAAGAAAGGAACCATGTTAGTTCATTGGGTAAGAGTTTGCCAACACTGGGTAATCAACCAAGGTTGGGTACATTTCATCCAACAAACATGCATATTCCCATTTTAACCTCTTTGCAAAATTGTACCCAACTGTAAACTGCTTTAAGAGTGCACATAATTATACACATCTTCATTATCCCACTAGCAGAATCACACCATATCACATAACAATACTGTTTCTGAAATGCAATCGGTGCATGCACATTGTCAACAAAATTCCTTAGAATTTGTTTTAATATTTTTTACTAAATCTTTATATTCTCTCTTTGCTTTAATTCAACAGTAGGGGAAGAGTAGCTTCGAGAAGATCGGAAAGTATACTAGCTGGATCTTTTCCATGTGGTCAGACGTCTGCTCTGTTTGTTGAGACTTTTTTCAAATTAATGCGAGAAAAACAATCATCGGTGATCAGTCATCACTGACCTTAACCCTAACCCCAACGAATTCATAACCTTGTCTCTAAAATATAAACATTCAATAAATATATATAGTACAATTTGCCTACATGTAGCCCAATATAGTTTTGTGTTGACAACAGGTTAGTCAATTCACTGGAAATTTGATTGTTTTGATATAATGCATTCAAGAGTGCAATCTTGTACATATGTTCTTCATGGCTGTGTAGATAAAACGTGAAAATGAAACCATTGAGGGGTATACATTGATAAGTTGTAAATTGTCAAATTTTTAATCAGCTGCTTTATTCTCTGACAAATTGTGCACAAAACTGTCTCATTAAATGGAATGACGTAATAATTCCTCCTCGGGTTAACTTACTTTTGTTCATGTTGTGAAAGGGGTACCTATGAAAATTAGGAGAGAGAAAGAGAGAAAAGAGAGAGAGAGAGAGAGAGAGAGAGAAGAGGGGAGGGAGGAGGGAGGAATAGCAATGGAGCAGGCATACTAAATAGAGATAGATAGTAAGGGAGCAACTCTTTTCAGAGGATACGAGATAGAAAGAGAGAAACAGATGAGGCAGGGAGATCTATGTTCGATTAAATACAAACATCTTCAGGATGTCTATCTTATTACGTTCTGTTGATGATGATGATGATGATGATAATGGTTTCTTTGATATGGTGATTCAAGGACGTAATCATCCAAAGTTATGAAACTGTTGATATTGTGAATTAAGCAGAGATGATCTATAAAATATGAAGAAAAAATGTTTCAGTGTGAAAGACGGAAAGATAGAGAGAGAGAGAGAGAGAGAACTACATCATATGTTTACATATCAAATGGTAATTGCGTCTTCCTGATGTTTATCACATCGATTAAAAAAAGGGAAAGACCAGATGAATACACGTTTTCTTTAAAATGTGAGATGTTTCTTCTAAGAACCATTCATTATCTCTTTCATACAACATACAAAATACATACAATATACGAAATCGATTCATTATTGATAGAACCTTCGTTTTAAGTTGGGTTTTGATTGGGTAAATCTTTATTGCATCCACATGGCAGTTTACAGAGGTTGAAATATATTTCTTACATGTACATCACTTTTAAATATTACCATTTCAAAGTTTCTTATAACTAAACCGAATTCATACATATCTATGTATCATTATTACACGTACCATCGTCCGTCTACAGTAACTGAATTTGAAAACCGATATATTTATATTTGGCATTGATTGGCAGATGTTGAAGTTGAAGAAAAAAGAAAGAATTCAATACAGAAAGAAAGTTAACTAGTTTCATGGTCGAAAGCCGCAGCTGGAAATGCATAGCACATTTGAAATCAATATGACTTTTATAATACAACTAATATTCAACCACTTCATCATTTCCTTCCTAATTAATTCTTTAAAATAACAAGCTGCATAACTATACAGAAAATAACTACTAACAATATTTACTGTTATTGTTAATTTCATAAACACAACGCCACTAGGCTATCGTCGATCCGACAGAGCAAAAGTACTAAGAGAGGAGCAGTAACTACGCCCTCTCATATTGCCTGGCGAAAATCATACAATGACGATGGAAACGCCATTAATCTCGACAACAACAACAACCCCAATTAAAGGTAATACAAAGTTAAGGTCATGAAATTGGTTCAAATGAACATATTGGAAGCATATGCGATCCTACAATATTCAGTGATCGTTGTCACGGTTGAAATCGAGTCTAAAGTTATGAAATTATTAATAATTAACTCTTTACGCAGTATAGCTCCCTCTCAAGGTTAATATATTAATTACGCTATAAAACAATATTTCTTGACTAAAATCGACCGACTAGATATTCCTGTTTGGAAATTATTTAACACAACTACATATTCAGAGATTTCCATGGTCGCAGCTACTATTGTACGGCCGTAGGCGCCATTTGTAATTTATCAAAATTTACCGGGAGCACCGGTAAATTTTTATATTTAATTTTTCTCGAAAGCAGAAGTGTTTTAGGGGCTAAATTTTCTAGAGCTTATAATACATCCACAGGGGCATCCAAATATATCAAAATTGTAAAGAATCACTATCCACCTAATGTTTAAAATTTCCCAAAACTTTGTATTACCTTTAAGCCCCAAGTGCTCATAAACCACTTTTTCTCAAAATGGAGTTACGTCCGTGTGTCACTAACCCCTCGAATTGGTGTTTCCCTTAGGATAGGGTAAGAGATTAGCGCTGAATCAGTACGTCACGAATACCAACACCGTTATCAGTATGAACAAAATAAGTGAGGAATTCACGCTCGAGTTTGTCGAGTTCTTCAATTGAAGAATAAAATGGTGGACCTGCATGCTCTATTGTCCTTCATTGTTTCATCGTATACGTCTATGCAAATCATATTTGTTTTTGTTGGTGGGTATAGGTGGTGTTTTACGAACTGTCAACAGTCAGCGGATGGCACAAATATACCGTATCGACTTAAAGCCCGTCTGCACTAGTTTGGTCAGGGGGAGGTGGTTATCTCATCAAATTAGCTCTCTTTTAACATAAGAAAAAGGGGATCATGGGGGATCAACAGGTACCGATTAGGCATTGTCGCAAGTAGCTATAAGTAGTGCAGTGAGGCTTTAAGAGCTCATCACGACAGTGCATGTATCCCTGAATTAAAAACAAATCTACTGAATTCAATTTAAACCAATTAAGAGGGTTAAACGTTGTATATGGCTCTGAAAAATAGCCTACTGCTAACTGAAGCAATTACGAAAATACAACGTGATATTGCTCGTTTGTTTTTTGTTTTATAGACAGATAATTATTATATTTCACACGCAATTCCATGCAACTTCACCCTATAAGAGCTCACTTTATCGACTTCAATCATTATACATTTCATTTAGTCGGTCTTTAGTCCTTAAAGATTTTTACTGCAACGGAAATGAACTCGTATTTTTCAGTGATATACAAAATAAAAATGATAATAATGAGCTAGTTGTTATAAAACGCTTTTCAGGACCGAAGGCCCTTTCAAATATACAGATATATATATATTATTAACCCGGTCATCAGATCCGGTGACATATCCACTCGTCCACGCGCCTCTACTTCTGTTCATGATGAAAATATTAGTATCGACGTGACTTCCTATTTCCAACTGTCCGATGGGAAATCTATCCTCACGACAAACAATTAAAAAACACTGTTGTAACACACGACAACTACAGAAAAGATGTAAAGCACAGCATATTTTTTAGAAGCATCAATAGATGTTTTAATCAAATATAGCTTAATTTAAATAAAATAAGAATATGTTTATACTCCGTACACCACTGATATAGACTAGTCTAGATCACAGACATGTATCCTTGGTAGAAGCCTGGTGTAAGTCAAGGTGTTTACATCCATCTTTAAATTAAAGGCACAAACCTAGCTAAAAGCATTGTTTTCATTCTACTGCGTGAAGCGTAATGCTATCGATTTTAAGAGAAAAGTTTCCAATTTTTTTCAAAGCTATGGCAGTTTCCTGCGTACACAGTGGAATTTGATGGTTTCCCACATACAGTATGACAAGCCTAGACGTTTTTAAATATACAGTGTGTTCACAATTGTCAACTGTTTTAATACGGAGCTATTAAAAGCAATAACGAAAAATCTTTCTTCCCCATAACTCCCATAACTTGAGGTGCAACTTAAAGGCAGGGTACTTTACAGACATCGCTACCACTGCTGTAATGTATTTTCAATTGAGCCATCTTCAGTGAAGGCGTACATACAGCGATTTCCGGTTCATGTAAGTACCCAAGCATCATCACCCACGCGTCATCAATTGGTGATGCATTGTGGGACATGGATGTCGACGCATCAGGACATTGTGAGCAGCAGATGGCAGTATATGCAAATCAGAAGTAGGGTCAGTATAATGCCTTACCTTTAAAGAGTTGATCACAGTGTAAAACAAGACATTTTCATGACATGCAAATTTCGCAATCGGGTAAAGACAGTTAATTTCAAAGCAATGCATTTTTGCAAATCTCCAACTTAGATGTGTAAATGTGATTTAATTATTGCACAGCGTGAAAATCCGCATGCAATCTTTTCTGGCTTCACCGTTCTCGTGTTTTCTTTGGGTACTTGCCATAATCATCAGCACAATCCTAGCCTCCAAACTGACGCAAAACTGCAGCGTTTTTTTTTTTTCTTCATTTATGATGACGTGAAGTGTAATACGTTTCACATTTCTGTTACAAATAACACGGAGCTCAGTGGATAAGCCCAAAATCTTAAAACATAAAAATTACCCTAGTAAACACCCCCAAATAATTCTTTATACTCATGACAGTTTTTTCTTTACAAAAAACAAGCTTCACATACATTTGCATGAATTTACCCCCAAATAGCATCTATTAAATCTGATATTTTTAAGTATCCACGCTGTTTATTATCTAGTACTGGGACATCACATAACTTTAAATAAATTTTGAGCTAGGAGGTTGATATTAATTGTTATACCAAATCTTGATGAAAGGTTTTCATATTCTCTTTTGAGAGGTGAAGAAAAAACATGACCTTAATAAACATGAAAACAAGATACATTTGAATGCCAAATGTCTCTACTTTTACAAATAAAAATACTGTTTCATAATTTAAGTACCTTGAATACAACTTCAGATAATACAACACTCAGTATAATTAAATTGTTCTTTGAACTATGCAAACTTTGCATATCCCACTGCCAAATTAATGAAGAACTTGTAACACGATTAAAATGTCCAAAAATTCATCACTGCACAGCAAAAGCCTTTAAGTTTCATCCACAATATTGTTAGGCAAAAAAAAAAAGTTCCTCTAACTTATAGAGATATTAATATGATCTTTCCTATGATCAGATAGACAAGCTTTATGAATGGTGTAAACCAATGATAGTAAATAAGGGAGAGAAGTACCATTTTTTAAGTACCTTCACTGATTCATTGTAAGTTAAAATTTAAATGCTATCAACACAAAACACAAGGCAAGATGCTGCAGTATTTCATTCTACTTAATCAAAACATGATAAAAGGCAGCACTTTCAGAAAGGAATTTATGCAGAACACACAAGGACCATGCATATGGCTACACTGCACATAAAATCTGCCATGCATGGTGAATATATTTTACATAATAAGCTGTGAGAATTCATACAAAGGGCAGACTTCTGTAGACTAATCCAATTTGTAATAATGTACATGTATAAACAAAATGTTGGCAAAAAATATAAATATCATCTTTTTGGAGCCTAAAGGGTGTTAACTCTGTGTTTAAAGTAGCCACATGAAGAATCAAAAGTGTTTTGAATAAGCCAGTTTACAATTGCAGTCTGAGCATGAGCAGATAAAGGTCATTTGTACCAAAAAGGTAAAACCCACAGAGATGAATACTGGATATGCGCTCATGAAAGTTATGTAACATTATTCATTTATGCACCAGCGGTACAATGAATACGCAAGTGGAAGTATTCTTTTCAAGAGGGCAAACAAAAGGTATTCATGAAGCACATCTAGAACTTTGGCAGTTATTATTCTAAGATGCTCAAAGTGGAACTTCTCCATGTGTAAAAGATCTGTGGATATTTGGGGTCATTCGTACCATGTGTTATCTGTAAACTCCCTTATTGATGCAAAACTCATATCATTGCGAAGGGGAAACGACTCTTCTCTTCAATATGTTTGGGGCCCGCAGTAATCAACTCTCAAAAATGTTAGTTTTGACTCGGAGATCCAGATTTTCTGCCTTCAGCGGTCCTTTGTAGAGCATCAATATTTGTGACGTCACATACGGGACACGGCTGGCTAGCTGCATACTGCTACATGGCACTGAGCTGTTCGTCCAGTGTGTGACGTCACAATTCAGAGCTTGCTACGCTTGTGTGTTTGACTTACGTTCGGGGGCGTTCGGGGGTCTAAGGAGGGTCTTGAAAATTTGCATTTTACGCCTTTCCATGATATCTATATGATTTCTCAGCAAATTGTTCCGTGTTTTTCTTTAGTGAATTTTCTTTGTGTAGCTCCTTTCTGGTTCCAAACAGACAATATACAAGACAAAGCAAAGGGCTAGTCCAGGATGAATATCAATCCTTTGAATACAATTCTATTTTGGTACAACTCCAGCTTTCCATCAAAACCAGCAAGTTCTCTCATGCTTATGTCCTTCATAATAGTCAGAGAGTTATCATAGAAATTGACTTAAAATGCCCAAACTTCGCTGCTTGTATGCCTTAGCATCAAGCTAGTTAAATGCCACTTTGATGTCAATTTCTTTTCGATATTCTTGTTAAATCCCTCATTCTCATATTCATTTTAGACTGCCCTTTGGTGTTTCTTCTTTAATACAAAAGATAAATATTTCTTCTTCCATATACACTGTTTCTTATATTAATCATTTGTTTTGATAAATTTTGACATGAACTAACCATAGTATATACATACATTCACTCGTAAACTTCTTTATACAAAAATAAGAGTTGCACACATATTTCTCTGTACACTTTCCAAACTTTTATAGTAAATAGTGCTATACAAGCTCTGAATACACTCACTATTTACAATTTTTTTCACCATTTACGTAAATTATTTACACAACAAAGATGTGTAACATTGGTATTTTTCAAATATTTAAACTACAACTATGCAATATGTTTTAAGGCTCTATATTCATATTTGTGATACTTAGTACCTGGTAGCTTGGGAACACTATTGGATACCAAGTATTGCCATTACTCCGTCTTCCATTCATTCCTTTAAAGCACAATGGATTTCATATTTTTACAATGATTTTAGTTTCCATATTAAAAAAAAATTATATTAGTCAGGAGATTCTTTTGCTTTCTCTCACTGCAAATATGTATTAGGATTGGATTTTCTTCCCTGCAAGTCAATCATCAATCTACAACAATGAATAATTTCAAAATTATTCATTATTCATTATTTGAGACATTTAGACAACTCGGCAAAACCCGCCCTTGAACTACAACACTGTCCAGACCAACAAAGACTGCTACCCCTACTCGACTCTACCCCCAAACCATCCCGATCTGGAGCTCCCTTTCATTGACGTCGGATAAAAAACATCCCCCCTCTCCCCCAATAGCAAATTCTTCAAGTCACCCTTGTCAAAAGCCAAATTCTACAGGTGAATGTAACAGCTCATTGCTAAGTTAATGTGTATAAATCTGAATAACTGTTATAACTTGAAAATGCTTTATGTATTGTTATTACAAATAACCATGATGACTTGTGAGAATAGTCTTATACATGTAGTGAGAATAGTCTTATACATGTAGTGAGGATAGTCTTATACATGTAGTGAGAATAGTGTTATACATGTAGTGAGAATGGTCTTATACATGTAGTGAGAATTGTCTTATACATGTAGTGAGAATAGTCTTATACATGTAGTGAGAATGGTCTTATACATGTAGTGAGAATGGTCTTATACATGTAGTGAGAATAGTCTTATACATGTAGTGAGAATGGTCTTATACATGTAGTGAGAATGGTCTTATACACGTAGTGAGAATAGTCTTATACATGTAGTTATAACAGGTCAATGAGATTGTCTCCATTGTCACGCTCGGGGTATGCACTGGATCCATTTACACCTCTCTGCTTGGGTACAGCACTGTTATACTTGATGAACGTCGTGGTATCCTGGGGACAAACCGAAAATATAAAAACTTGTCATTATAACAAATAAAATAATAATAATTAAACTTATATGATAACGTTTGATGTCTGAGGAAAAAAAGAACGGGTAGGAACTTTGCTGAAGAGTTAGAGAAAAAAATTGCAATTTTTGACCGAAAAAACAATGATTTTGAATCTTTCAATGTGTTGCCAATTTAAGGATTATAACAAATTCTTAAAAAAATTAATAAAACTTGTATAACAACATTTCTCATCTGGAGAAAAAAAGAGCGGGTAAGAACTTAGCTGAAGAGTTGTAAAAAAAAATTGCCATTTTCGACCAAAAAATAATGATTTTATTAATGAATTTAAGGATATCAGACCTTATTTTCCTTTTGAAAATTCCTATTTCTTCGCATTTAACGCGAAGGGGTCATGCAACAAAAATGGATGAAGTCTCTGCAAAAATTCTTTCCCTTTCTCATGTATCTGGGGGGTGTTTCACAAAGACCAAGATCGACTTTAAAGGTCCCCTCTAAGGCTCTAACCCAACTAACTTAGCCTTTTAAAGGTAATACAAAGTTTTGGTATGGGGTCATGAATTTGCTTCAAATGAACATATTGGAAGCATATGCGATTCTACAATATTCAGTGATCATTGTCGCGGTTGAAATCGAGTCTTAAGTTATGAAATTTTAAATAATAAACTCTTCATGTTGTATAGCTCCCTCTCAAGGTCAAGATATTAATTAAGCCATAAAACAATGTTTTTGGTAATGACATATCACAACTACATATTCTGAGATTTTCATGGTTGCAGCTACCATTGTATGGCCGTAAGCGCTATTTGAAATTTATCAACATTTACCGGGAGCACCGGTACATTTTTATATTCCATTTTTCTCGAAAGTAAAAATGTTTCAGGGGTTAAATTTTTTAGTGCTCGTAATACATTGTACATCCACTGGAGCATCCAAATTCTGCCTATATTCAAAATTTCCCAAAACTTTGTATTACCTTTAAAACATTAATACACCTCTACTTATAAACATTCCAGCCTAACATTTTTCAGAAAATCTCTATATTGACCCAAAAATGATAATAACCATCCATTTTTCACAGATCTCATGCTTGCTAAGCTACACCCCTCAAAAAAATGTAAATAAGGTCACGTGGCTTGATGACGCATTTGACATCATTGCAGGAATGTCCTTGTATTTGTCCTACAACTAAGGATCCTACAATCTCATTGTCGTTCATAATTAGGAATGACGAAATGGCCAGAAACATTCTGGGATTATTAAGTGCATATTATTTTTTCGGATTAATGTCTCTTTTTTTTCAATTAATATCATACTTTGCCTGTTTAAAGACATTTTATTGCCTAAATCACCCTCCTTTTCACCAAGAATTGGCAAGCAGACAATTTTTGCTTAAACTCATACCACAGTGCGCGTTCTTATCAGCCTGGCGTCAGTTTCCTTTAGAACACAAACTATCAAATGAGTGGGCAAAGAGTCTACAGTGTTTATTTATTAACTACCTGTATGTGGAAAATAAATAAACTTGAACTTGATTAGAGAGAGTAGAAGCTACATGAAATGAGAAGAGTTTGATGTAGACTACAATACTTACAGACATCGTAAGTTTTCCCAATCCTGTGGTCCCAGTTAGTATGTGTACGGTGATATCAAAGAAAAACACACCAAAGAAAAAAGTGCTTGTTAGAATGACATCGGAAAAGAAGTTAGTATGCACTGATCACATAATAAGCCAGTTCGTAGTTTAACTTTTGGTTCTCCCTTTAACAACATTTAAAGTTTTTAATGTGAATTTCAATTCCATGAGCCACACTTTTAAGTATCTTTAGGGAATCCAACCAAATCTCTACGTATTATTAAGTTATGGCTAATTCACAGGTTTGATATGACACGATAAATGATTAATTCAATTTGTACATATGGTTCAACTATGGATATTTTTTTCTTTTTCTTTGCAACTCATGTACATGGATATGTATATGACATCAACTGTTTAATTGTTGTAATTTTGTTACCCACTTGAATACATTTATAACATTGTGTTATGTTGTTAATAAATTCAAATTCAAATACCCGCATAGGTAGATACAGGTTGTTTGTACCAAAATTTTGAAATTCAACCGAGACGAATACTGGATACGTGTACGTGCTCATAAAATTATGCAATGATTATTCATTTATTCACAAGTGGTACATTCTATAGAACACAGGTGGAAGTATTCTTCTCAAGAGGGCAAATAAAAAGGTATTCATGGAGCACCTCCATGACTTTGGCAGCGATTATTCTACCATGCACAAAGTGGGACTACTCCATGTGTAAAAGATCTATGGATATTACGGTCATATGGTAACTACGAACTGGTCTATTAGAGCAACGAGATACTCTTTGATTAGAGTATAAACTTCCATTGAAATGTAACACAAAAAACACAAATCTACATACATAACCCATGAAACCATAAATGATTAACAAATAAAATACATGAAGTGCATTTGTAGAATTACAACACTACTGAACTTGATACAAAAAAATCACACAACTCACAACTGTACAAGAAACAATCAAATGGATTACTAGTGTATATTATAACGATTGAATCACATTATCATGGTAAATTTCAAAATTTAATAACATTATTCCACAAGCACAGCATAGAGTAGCAGTATGTCTTAACTGTGGATGTACATATGTAAAAGTAAAAAACATTCTACCATTCAAATTTCATACCACTGTGGAATTACCGTAAGTGTTTTCTGAACATGAATGAAATAACACCCATGTGCTTGAAGCTATGACCAGTTTCTGTCTAAAAGAATATTTTGATTAAAATACATTTCAATTTAACACCCCCCCCCCCCCCCCCCCCCAGCGTCATCTAATAAAGCAAATAACGGCCTCCATGATAGTGCGCTACTTGGCTTTTTGATCAGGTTTTTTGGTCAATTTCTCGACTTTTTACTCACACTGTGGACCCATCATATAAAACAAATAATATATGTTTTTAACTTTATTAGTGCATTAGTGCATTAGTGATATGTACTGCACTTGGTTAAGTCACAATGAGACAAACTATGAACTCAACAAGTCTTTTTCATTATCCTACTGTGACTTAAAGGTAAAGACCAGTATTGGAAATGCCCCAATTTCAAAAAATGAAATGGAAGCTCTCATTACCAATCATGTGAAAGAATATGTTTTGACTAATACATGATGATAAAAAATTGGCCGGGAAACCGCCTACTAATTCATATATTTGGTAAATTTGTTTCTCTCATGGACTGTGAGAGATATAGGGTAGTCCCATATACATCTTTCTGTGTATAGTGCTTGTAACTTTATGAAGAATGGGCCAAATTTCTTATCATTTTGATGATTCCAGAACTTTGCAGATGCTAGATGATCAACCTTTTCTGATCGATTCCACAACGTTTCTTTCACAATGCAATCGCATGACCATAACTGGTCTTTACCTTTAACCTGTGTGCAGTGCATATTACTAATGGACTCACAAACATATATTATAATAATCCATGGACAATAATTGTCAACTGTCCCAATCCACAAACATCGAGTTCATGCGATGAATTAGATCTGTCCAAGTTAATGGTGACATCATCTGTTTGGAGCCAAAAGGGCATTTACTCTGAGTTAAACAGTATGAGTTAAAGGGATAGTTGAGTTCTGTTTTCACATCACAAATGCCTTCAAAGTGCATGCTTATTGCTCCTTTTCTCATCTATGACATTTCTAGTGTCCTTTTGGGACCTAAAATTGCGAAAAAGGTAATTTTAGACCCCAAAATGTGTGAAATTTAGCCAATACCATCATACCAATTCAGCTCCACTTTCCCCAAAATATGGTGACCGTTAATTAATTAATTAATTAATAATAACAGTACATGGGCCGGCTGATTGTGTGTAATATAACCAACACAAAGAAGCCAACAAAAAAGCCAACATCGGCATTGGCTGAAATACAACGTAAATGGCGCTATTTTGTTTTTTCAACGGCTGGTTCAAATGATCTAATATTTGTGGTGGTACACAAGTACCGGTATTAGAAATCGTTATATTTATGGATATTTCAGCCATCTCTGAACCGATTTTGATCAAACAAAGATGATTTTGTCATTTTAATTGTATGTTCTTTCAAATTTAATAGTCAGTTTTTCATTATCTCACCAAAAAATATTTTGTATAGCGCCCTCTGCAACAGAACTCAACTATCCCTTTAACGGCCTTCAGGCTCCAAACAGACAATATTAAGTATTCACAACAAAAAGATGTGTTAGAGTCATGCAGTGTACATGCAGTGTGAGCTTGAGTTTACCTGGTATCTGAGTCCATAGCGAATGAATGGTTAGCATGATGGTCCATGAATGTTACGATGAAATTTAGAAAATTGGGATGTTATCTCTTAATATCCTATTCTTTTCATTATAAAATATCACTTCATATGTTTCCTTCAAGAAAAATATATTGAATGAAATTTTTGCTAGAATATCGCAAATGACATTTGGCATTCAAAGGCATCTATTTGGACTGTTATACCCAATAAGTTCAAGGGCATCTATTTGGACTGTTATACCCAATAAGTTCACCGTTCTGCTTTAGGAATTCCTTTTTTTCATGTACTGCGATGTACCGCCATGATAAGAGCTAATTTCAGCCTTAACACCAGATATTCAACAGTGACAGATAAATTCTTGAACAAGTATTCAAAACATTCCATATCTTGAAAATACAGATATTACATTGAGAGAAATGGTTAGGGGTTGAACGTCTCCTCTCAAACATGCATCAAAAATTGATACTTAAGAAACTTGATTGTATACCCATTAAAAATTATCAACACTATAACATTTATAGCAGGCAGTGTTCTCCCGAGACTTTAGAAAGAAAAATTCCCAAATACCAGTGAATAAATTTGACAAAAGATTTTTCCTGAAATTTGGTTTTAAATTAGTGAAAACTAGTTACATATACACGTTAGTAAATGTGTATACTTGATGAAATGGCTTTAAGGGGTAAATTGATGATGCAAAGCTTTATTTTTCTGAAAGTGAAATCAAAGAGAAAAGGCAGTATCCTTACCATGTCTTGGTTGTTCCCTTTGGACCCAATCTTGGTTATAGTTCCTCTGTTGTGTCTCACTTGCCGTGTTCTGGTACACTCTGGCTGAGTCTCTCCCGTTCTGTTGGGTGATAGCATTGTTATTACGGTTCCCTGTTGTGTGGATGTGATGTCCAGCGTAGCCCGACGAGGGTTTCGTTGATCCCAGGTACGGGGTGGGGGTTTGCGATCGGTACCGTGAGCTGCTGACCTCTGCCGGGCGTGATGTGGACGTGAAACCAAGGGGCGTGGAACTCCGCCCCACGGTAGCGTAACCCGACGTATAGCCAACCTGTGATTGGGTCCAGTCTTTATGCACAGGAGGAGCAGAGGTTTGGTGTCCTGATGGTCCCAAGGAGGATCCCTGAGGTACACCGTGTCCTTGGGTTACCCGTCCCTGTCCATTAGAAGGGTCATGCTGGACCCGACTGTGTCCATGTCCCACTGGAGCGCCTGATGTCATACTGGTAGCTGATCCATACTGTATGGTCTGATTGCCACCTGTTCTAGTCCGCTGCAGGGAAGGTGATGATGGGACGCTCTGATACTGCCGAGGTTGATAGCCGCTCCTTGACGAATCTGTCTGTTCGGTAGAACTCTTCTGTCCATACAGTCTGCTGGTGTCCTGTACCGATGATAGGTCTTCCACTCGCTTCTTCAAGAGCGCTATCTGCTGCATCGAGTCCTGCTCTTGTCGCTGTATTTCTTCCCTGCTATCTCTCCTCACAATTGGTTGGCCTCTGTTTCAATCACACACAAAAAAAAAATCATTACAAGGAATGGTACTTCAAAAAGCTCCTGTTTAAAGAAAAAATACTTTGCAGATTAGTATAGTTTTCTGAACGGTCATTTCTACTTTCTCTCTCTCTCTCTCTCTCTCTCTAAGTGCCATATCAATTTACTTTGGCGATCATGCTGTTTCACAACCCTCGGCTCCTAACCTTCTGTATTAGTACCACTCCCAGTTTTTTCACTCCTCTCTCTTCCAACAATTTCTGCAGACTGTCCATCCAAAGTATCCTCCTTCCCCTACTCCTCCTTTCCATAATTTCCCCTGTCAAAGCAAGATTCTCTAGGCCTTCTTTACGTGTAATGTGACCCATGAACTTCAACTGCCTATCGCACCCAATACTGTTACTTGGAGCTAGTTATGTGACTAACTTTTCACAAACCCCAGTGACTAGTCTTTCATTCTACCTTGAATAGTCTGGCTTTGGAGGTGCAGGTGGAGTGAGCTTGTTGTGGATGTTTCTGTCCCCTTCTGATCTTCTAAGTAAGGTCAATCGACGATGTAACCCTCGTGATTTCAGCACGGTCGTATTGTATTTGGTCTGCAGGAAGAGCTTGGTCTGGTCTTTCAAGCCATCTTGGCGCAACGCAATCTTTAACGTCGCTACAGGTGAGAAGAGAAATGGTAGTGAAATAGTAATAGTAATAAAATTTGATATTTTTATAATGATAATAATAATAATAGAAACCAATACGTTCTCATAGACGATGCACATTCTTCTATAAAGACCATTGAATATGGCGTGCCTCAAGGTTCTATTTTAGGTCCGTTACTTTTTATTGTTTATATTAATGATTTTAACATGTCTTCAACAACCCTGTCTTTTCTTTTGTTTGCTGACGATTCTAGCATTTTCTTTTCTCACAACCTAATTTTCATACCCTTTACAAAAGTGAGCAGTGCTCACCCAAGTATGAATTTTTTTCGGACTTTTTGGTGTCAAATGAAAGTTGAGTTTATGAGCTTTCCATACATATACAACTTTTCCCCCAGAATCAAATATTTTTTATTCGGCAGCCATTTCGAAAGTGTATAGTTTTTTGGGGGACGCACGGTATAGCCCATATATCCTTCATGCAAGGTGCTTAAGACTCTGCTAGGCTACCGATTTTGGTGCTCACATCATTCAAGGAATTCCTTTGCATCAGTACCCATTTACTTCACCTGGGTGGAGAGTGGCAAATGTAGATTAATGTCTTGCCAAAGGACATTAGTGGGACTTCACTCACAAACCAGGTGTCACCCACAGTCCTACAAATCCAACAAACTTTCACATTTTATCATGAAGAGAAAAAATATTATGTTTAACTTTGTGCCCATTTTGATTATGTTCATCATTATTTTATTAAGCAAAAGAAAAATACATATGATATCAGAAAAAGGACAAATGAACAAGTATAGATAAAGGATGATACATGTACAACCTACTGGAACGTCATTGTGGTTGAAAATATAAAGTAATTTTTACAAGTATGTTTTGTTACAATAGTAACTGCTGTTTGATACCTGGAATGTTACAAGGAAAATAAGTACATCCTTTATTCCTTTAATTTGCATGAAATCATGCTTGCTGTACACATCTTTTTTGAGGAAAATGTACAGTGGTACGTCATGTACCACCGTACTGGTGCTATGATACCCCAGTGAATACAGCTTGAATAGGGTTCAAGGTTTACTTTCACTATGTAAAACTTAAATTGCAAAGTGCATGCAATTTTGGGTACTGCTGATATTTATTCATCTCTCAGACAATTATAGTGTATTGGAGATACAAATTTCTTTATTACAGGTTTCTGAAAGCTTTTTCAAATAGTTCAAGATCTATTCTTCTCATTTTAAAATTCAAACTTCTCACTCAATTTTCAATCATATTCATAGTGAATAGGTAATGCATCATATACACTATTATTGCAGTTTTCCTAGTTATCTGTTTGACAGAAACCATGAAGTTTTATTATAAATTATATTAGTTTCACTGCATCATATTCATAATGATACTTCATAACAGAATGGGTAATGAAGGGGGGGTAGACTTACAAGCTGCGGCTGTGCAGAGACCAAGTGCTATTGCCAAATCCCCTTCCTCTTCAGCCTTCTTGGACGAGAGTAACTGTTCTTCAACACCTTGCATGAATTCAATGACTACATCCTCAGATCCTTGAGTTCTTCGGTCTGATTTGTCTGCTGCTGAAGGTGTGAACTGCTGACCAGGTTGTCTCGTAGGCGTTTGTGGTCTTTGAGCATCGCCTCCGTAACTTGTCTGATGATGCATGGGTGATGGCTGATTCTTATCAAAGACCTGGTGCACGTGTCCATACTTAGAGATATCTTTATCATGGGAATTACTGGAAACTGAAGCTGTTACACTTGGTGGTGGAACATCAGAAGCATGTCCGTCCAGAGAATAGACACTTCCAGAGCTTGCGCTTGATCTGTCTCGACTCCTGTAACCAGAGTCCCTGCTCGCGATGGAATCAATGTCTAAACCCTTGCTGACGTGCACCTCGGGTGTTTGTCTCATAGTGAGTCCTTCATGGTGAGATGTCCCTTGTGAGCTGTTCTCAGTGCTGGACGACTGATGGTACGTCATGTCTCTTTGTGGAGCAGAACTGTACCCTATCCCACCGCTGCTACTCATCAAACTCTGCTTACTACTCGGTCTGAACTGATTAGCCTGTTTCTTTCCTGGTAGGGTCAGGAACTTATTCTGTATGTTGTACTTTGCCCTGGCTTGCTTATCTTCAGGATTTTGAGTAACAGATGATGATCGCATCAGTGGTATGTGACGTCCATCACGCTGTTGATTCTGATTCTGTGTTGCAGTTGGTTCACGATTACGGATTGCCGTATCTAGTATACCTCCAGCAGATACAGGCTGATCTAATGAGGGGGAACGCTTCAATGACCTTGATCCTCCTGCAGGAGGGTTTGTCCTTGAAAACTGTTTTCCAGGTATATCATCATGAGGATTCATCTGCCGCTGCAGGTCCGGCACACTTGAATACTTGGGAAACTGTCCACCATTGGAACTTGTATAGCTTGTATTTGAATTCAGTCCTGTTGAGTGATTCGCATCAGATTTCAAATCAGGGTTACTACTATGGGAATCTTGATATCTGTCAAGAGGTTTGATAGTCAATGAACTTGCTCTTTGCACAGAGGAAGTTCTCTGGATTAGGTCTCCGGAGTGTTGTCCACTAGAACCATTATTCCAAGATCCTTGTCTGACCACATTTGTCTTTGGGGGTTGTTGATTTGAAGCTAGAACATTAGTTGGGTTCATAGCCGCGTCTTGAGGTCCCTGTCTTACACTGAATTCCTGCAGAGGTTTGATGTTCAGTTGCCTGTTTCTCTGTGCTATAGGTTCACGTTCAACTTCGGTTGCAAAGTTACCGTAAGGCTCAAAGGTGAGGCTAGGTTGAGGCACGTGTTGAGGAGACTGTGCTTCCTTATGCCCAGTGATCATTCCTGTCTTGGCATTGTACATTGCTCCTCCCTGAGAGCCGGTATCTGTCCTTTGTGAGGCTGAATCATTTGTACTCACAACAGAAGAGGAAACTTGTCTAACCGATTGCCTACTGATCTTAGACTGTGCTGAAGATGGTCTTCGACTCTGCTGTGGTGACATCGGCTGGATCCTCTGACCGTACGATAAATCCTTAGCAGATGAAGGTCTCTCGGTCTGGTTCCCTCCATTCTGGACTCTAGGCATTGTCTTGGAACCAGTTCCTCTGTCCGCAGCTTCATCGTGTCCTTGTAGAGCAAACTGAGAGATGGCATAGCTTCCTTCACCAGGCTTCTTCATAGGCACATAGTTCAGGGCATCATGCCCTATCTCGACAATGGAATTTGGAATCCAACTAGCCCTGGTTGCATTTGCGACAGACCCGTCATTACCGATCGTCCAATTGGCTTCGTTTCTCCTGCTGTCCCTGGAGGATTCACCCTTTGGAGGCGTCCTGATCTCCGACGTTGCCTGGAACTCAGGGACTGTCCCCACTGGCTGATAGACCAAGGTATTCTGGGAATCATTGGAGCTTGCACTCTGTCCACTCATGGTGCTACTGTTACTGTTACCATGGTAATGATGGATTGGGATGGGTTCTTCTGGTTCGGTGAGGACCTTGAGTAATAGTGATTCCTCAGGTTTGTTTGGGTGGACAAGTGGTCCTCCTGAAATGATAGAAAATGGAAACATTTTTAGGCCAACGATTTCACAGTGTGTTTCACCCATTGCTTAAAGTTGCTCATGCTTGGGTACATAGAGGGCAGCACACTGAGCCAACAGGTATTACGCTCCTGTGCATACTGGTGTACCTTTATGCGTACATCTGTACGGGAACGTAATACCCGTTGGCTCAGTGTTATGTAGTGATCGCCAAGTTGCCTACTTTACGAACGACTAGATACCCATGCATAAATATTTTTAACATCGCATGCTGAGTTTACAGACCACTTGGTACTTATGACCAAATCAATTATTTAAATTACGACAAGCGAATTGAAAAAAACTAAACAATAAATTAATGTCTAAAGAAGAGTGTACTAATATTACTGAATTGTGAAAGCTTCACAGGAGAACTGTGTTCATTTCAAAATTAAAATTATGAAACATTAAAGAACAAAAGTACCAGCATGGATATTTCAAACTATAAATAGGAAAAGCCTATTATAGTACAGGTTTCAATGACAATCACTATTCAAGATAAACAGGATATGTGGTCATTATAGACAGGTGGTCACAAAAGCAGGTTTTACTGTATTTTATACTTGACAAATATCAATGGCACTAAATAAGAGTATTGATTTTCCTTCCTTCTTAATAGTTTTCTTTCATTTGGAAAACAATAATGACAAAATGTTTCACTAGATTATATAATATAGCAAGTAGTACTTGTAAGTAATAGGATACTGACCATTTTCCTTGTCATCTTTGTCATATCCTTTGAGCATAGTTATGCGCTTGGGGGCTGTGACCGTTGACACTGCTTTGCCATCAGGGTATGCGTACAGAAGTAACAGAGGCTGAAAATGACCTCTCCGACATCTATCCACGACATCAGACCAGTTATGACCAACCTATTCAAAGAAAAGATAAAACTGCAAATTACCAAATATGTCTAATCATGTGATGAGAAGGGAAGGTGATCAACCTGTGAAAAGAACGTGGGATCTGGAAGACAAAGTGGATGGCATAGGAGGGAAAGGAAGACCGTAGATTTCAGGCAAAGATATGTTGAAGAAAGAAAGCAGTAAGGTTGGTCTAAATAAGGAGGATGCTCAAGACAAGAAGTGGAGGGAGGGAATGTCATCATGGCGCGAAAGTCAGTGATCGGTAGACTCCATTGTGCCTTGACTAAATTAGACCAACTATTAAATAAAAGACGCCTCAGTGAATAAACTGGATATGAACTTTAAGTCAACTGCATATACTCAGTCTGTTGTTTAAAACAATTACTAAATACTTACCCAGGAGTTTGCAGCATATTACAATATATAAGCCACAGAATTTGTATTAAATGGCGCCCCTCCAACAGAACAAGAGCATGTACAGAGCTTGACACATTTTCATACCTATTGATTTAGAATATGTCATATGCTGTGAGATGAATATATATATTCAGTATCTGTGATTTCAACCTTGAAACATCTGCTATTAACAAAATACCAGACGCTATTTTCCCAGCCATATATCTACAGGCAAACCAAATGATGCAATATCGAAATGTACAAAGTGGGACCTCTCCATGTTTTGACGATCTGTGGATACTTGGGGTCATTTGGGACATGTTGCTAACCGTGAACTGGTCTATTCCTTTCTGATTGTCAAGCCTCTAAGCAGGCGGTGAATAGCCATTTGGTTTCACAAAACTTGTCATCAGTGACATATGACAGTTGTTGTTATAAGCTACTGAAATCTTTGCTTCTGATTGGTTATCAGCAGATTTGTCACTGATATCTGTCATTTGTCATTGAAAAAAGGCTTTGTGAAACGGGTTCCAGATCGTTTACTACCCAATTATTCTATTCCCATTTGGTCTACACTACCCAACCTGTCTACTATCCACATGGTTTAATAATTATTTAGTCTACTTATCTTTTGGTCTAATGGCCGATTAGGCCAATAGTCATTTAGTCTAATAACCAGTTAGTCTAATTCCCAGTTTGTCTAATGCCTATTTTGTCTACCATCCATAAGTTCTAATAATCATTTTGTCTAATTATCTTTGGGTCTAATGGCTAATTGGGATAATAGTCTTAATATTTCAACTCCCAGTTTGACTAATGCCCATTCGTCTACCATCAACAAGTTCTAATAATCATTTGATGATTATTATCATTCATGATAAAAATGATTATTATACCATGGATAGTAGATGAACTGGTTCTAGACCAAACTGCAATAGGGACTTTTAGATTCTGCACGACGAGAACGTGGACTGCCCTTTTAAGGCAATGTGACGTCACTGCCAGTGCCTTAAAAGGACGTCACATTGCCTTAAAAGGGCAGTCAACGTTCTCGTCGTGCAGAATCTAAAAGTCCCTATTATAAACCACCAGTGCTACATGGGTATACTATTGTCTGTTCGGAGCCAGAAGGACATTAGTTCGTATCATTTTACACAGAGATAACTCCCTTCTGGCTCCAAATAGATGGCATTACTGATTCCAGGGGAGTGTTTCACAAAGACTAAGATCAACTTAAGTTGGACCTAACTATGACAGGCCGTTCATGCCACTATTTGCTCTCACTAATATGAGCATTAGATACATTTTTCTTCCTTCAATAATGAATTATCAAAAAATATAAATTCTGTACATATGTGACCATGATATGTACCAATACGAGCAAACGGTGAGAGCAAACAGTGGCATGAATGGCCTGCCATAGTTATATCCAACTTAAAATTGATCTAAGTCTTTATGAAACACTCCCCAGGTCTACATGGGTATAATATCGTCTATTTGGAGCCAGAAGGCCATTAACTCATATCATTCTACAAAGATCTAACTCCCTTCTGGCTCCAAATAGAGGATATCGAGGGTTCAGTCACACAAAGACGTAACTCCATATTTGGCCAAAATGAGTATTTGATATCAAAATGTTCAGCAAAATGTGGGCTTTCCAGGAAACACAAAGACTTAACTCCAACCAACACCCCATAGAAGGCAATGGCTAGTGAAACATAGACTTAACTCCTTAAGGCCCAAGTGCTCAGTGACACATAAACCACTTTTTCTCAAAATGGCCAAAATGGAGTTGCTTCTTTGTGTCACTGATCCCTCGATATTTACCAGTTCCAAGGTACTCACCTGTTTGACTACAGCATCATCAAAGTATACCCAGTATCTCAGGTTGGTGTTGTAGAAGAATGTGGTGTAATGCCGGCCGTAGTAGGTCACAAGACCGACCAGGAACAGGCTGTTAGCCTTGGCCCTATCGTCCACAGTGTCGTCAAAGAGCTGAATGGGAATAAGAATGGGAATACTGACTATACACTGTTTTGTATACAAACATTTCAAGGCTCCGACTCGCAGGCCCAGGTTTAAAATCAGCTCGCTGATCTTACATTCTTATTCACATTGTCCAGAAACCTTGTGAGTCTTCTCATTCTAAAATATATCCCAAGTTTGCCACTCAATATTCAAATGTCCATCTTCGTTTTATCTTCATACTGTATATCAAATTGAAATCCAACTACCACATACATCTGTAAATTTGGATGTACACCCCCTCTTTCTTCTTTTTCCTTCTCTCCTATTCACCATTATTTTTTTCCTCCATGTTTGTATTATTATGTATCCATTGAGGTTAGTCATGCTATCAAGCTTTACTTTGTCAACCCTCCTGTTTGATGTTTTCGATTAGTTACAGCCAGCCTCACTTTATTCTACATATATTCTTTTGTCATGTGCAAAATTTGCGATGTTTTGTTTGTTATATATTTGTAAAACTGCGAAAGAAAAAGAAAAATCAAACAGAAATAAATCAATCAATCAATTCAAATCAATAATGAAGAGGAAAGTCACTGTTCATCTGTCCATGTTCTATTTTTTGATCAACAGATTACAAAAAAGGAAGTCTACAAAAATATGATGGGGATTGAAGAGTAGATGTAAGATGGTCTTTAGGTCATCTACCTTGTTTTTCTACACAAGAAGAAGAAACAGAAGAAAAAGAAAAAGAACAAGAAGAAGAAAAAGATGTAGAAGGTGAAGAAGAAGAAGAAGAAGAAGAAGGTGAAGAAGAAGAAGAAAGAGAAGTGATATAAAGTGTATGGGTAACAGGTTTACCTCTCTGAGTTGAATAGTTGTACCCAGATTACAGATGACATCTGTTATATGATCAATATCAGGCTTGTCAGAATCCCAGATCAGTCCAATACTCACTGTAGCAAGAAAACAGGGGAAATAGAGTTATTATAATCATCATCATCGTCGTCGTTGTCATCATCATCATCATCATCATCATCATCATCTTCTTCATCATCATCATCATCATCATCATCATCACCATCATCATCATCATCACCATCGTCACCATCATCATCATCATCATCATCATCATCATCATCATCATCATCATCATCACCACCACCACCACCACCACCACCACCACCACCACCACCACCATCATCATCATCATCATCATCATCTTCTTCTTCTTCATCATCATTACCACCATCATCATCATTATTCTTCTTATTATTCTTCTTATTATTATTATTAAGTGTTTGGTGTCACCTGTGCCTGGGGGCGAAAGTGAACTGAATCATTGTAACCCTTGCGTCTCTCTTCTTGGTATAACTGATGGGAGTGTGCAGGTGGACCACTTCACCAGGATTTCCCCCTACTCTTATTGCCAGTGTAACTAGTAAGCGCTATACTTAATCTAATGATTATTATTATCAATAACTTTAGAATCATGTTATCAAAGACAACACTAAAATAATTCAATCATAAAAAAAATAATCAGGCTGTACTCACCGACATTGGGACAATCCACCTTATCATAATTATTATTAAGCGCTATACCACTTTAAAATCATTATTATCAATAACTTTAGAAAAATATTTAATCAACATTGGGACAATTAATGAGTATTCTCCTGATTCTCGTGATGTGGATCTACGTAATTAACTTTATAATTATAATTATCAATAACTTTAGAATCATGTTATCAAAGATTTTGCAATCATCTAATCAGAAAAGAAATCAGGTTTTACTCACCGACATCGGGACAGTTCATGAGTATTCTCCTGATGTGGATATTCTTGCCACATGAACTCTGTCAAAACAAGATGAAGAAAACAATTTTTATTAAAATGGAACATTTCTCTGTAAATATTTTCTATTTTTAATATCAAATTATACATCATAAAAAAAGTTCAAATGTCAAATAACTATGTATATTTTGATGGGACTAACAATTTCAATTCAATTTCAATTTCAACTAACCTACATTAGCATTATGCTAGTTTTTTAGTTCTTTTAACCAAAAAGTGTCTACGTACACTCTACACTGTTATATCTATATCTGTATGTGAAACAAGTTTTTGCAATAAAAGATCAAATTAAATCAAATTAAATCAAATCAATAAACATGATGGGAACAGAACAATATTATAAGTTACTAAAAAGATGTATCTGTGACTGTAATACATCTTTGTTTATCCTGTTTTGAGTGGTAAACCGAGCACATCAGGAAACATGCAGTTTTGAGATCATGGTACCCAAAGACTTAAAACTGAAAATATCTTAACCAGCCCTAAAGGGCAATCCAACCTTTGTAATGAGTTATTTTAACGAAAGCTGGAAAATCAGAGAAACAGACCAATAACAAGAAAGTTGTGAATGCTTAAAATATGAGATCACTACATCTATACGAATCTCAAATTGGCAATTTGGTCAGTGGATTGTGATATAGTCGAGGATAACCCTCCAGTTTGTCGTGTCCAAAAATATCACTAATTTCTGTTTTTCTCCCAAGTGCCTTCACACTTGCCTTCACACTTTGGGCACTACCGGTACTCAAATATATATTATGGAGAGTGTATTATTACAGGTACTCTAAACAGGAAAGACAATCCGAGTCATACATATTAAAGAAAAAAACAAAACATTTTAGTCATTTTGTGTGTTTGAACAGATGGGAAAGTTGCCCAGCACTACATCACAGTTGACATTACTGATTCAGCCAATTTGGAGAGCCCATACTTATAGTGATTCCAACTTTCAAAAATGTGTGAATTTCTTATTGTTTGTCGAATTTTGTTCAAACTTTCACCAGTAGGCCTAGGCTTCTCTGATTTTTCTGCTTTCTTTTAGAGTTGTTTGCTTTCAGGGTTGGATCTCCCCTGAGCCCTGTTTCACAAAACTGGTCATCAGTGACAAATGACAGTTGTTATAAGCTACTGAAATCCTTGCTTCTGATTGGTTATCAGCAGATTTGTCACTGTTTTTTGTCATTTGTCATTGAAAAGATTCTTTGTGAAACACCCCCAGAACTACTTACAGGACATTTCCTGACATCGCCGATAGCACCTGCTTTCCTCAGAAGGACTCCAAAATGATCGGTGTTTGGCCAGATTCTGTCCTTCCTCATCCTGCTAGCTTCAGTACTGTATCAAACAAAGAGAAAATTATTATTTGTTCCCATTCTCCAGGGGAATGTTTCACAAAGACTAAGATCAACTTTAAATCGGACGTAACTGTGGCAGGCCATTTATGCCACTGGTTGCTCTCACTATTATGATCTTTAGATAATTCTTTTTCCTTTAATAATGAATTATCACAAAATGTAAATTTTGTAGATTTGCGACCATCATTTGTAAGTCCCTTGAAATACCAATGCCAGTAAATGGTGAGAGAAAATAGTGGCATGATTGACCTGCCATAGTTAAGTCCAACCTAAAGTCGATCTTAGTCTTTGTGAAACACCTTCTGTTCTCCCATTCATCTCTTTGTATTTATACCTCCTTTCCAGTGCAATGGTAACTTCCCATGTAGACTATTGTAACTCATTATTAATCAACTTACCTGCTTCTCATCGGCCCCACTTCAGCACATACAGAACACCGCTGCACGTCTCATCACTCGCACTAGAAAGCACGACCACATCACTCCAGTCATCCGCACCCTACATTGGCTCTTAATTCCCCAACGTATCCAATTCAAGATCCTTCTCCTCACGTTCAACATCATCCATCATCGCGCACCATCATACCTGATTGAACTGATCTCACCCAAACAGACTACCGGCATGAACCTTAGACCATCATCCAGACCCCAGCTCGCACTTGGTCCTCGCACCCACAACCGCTATGGTGACAGGGCCTTCAGTCTGTGCCCCCACTCTTTGGAACACTCTCCCCGCCCATATCCAGGACTCACCCACCATTGACATTTTCAAAAAAGAATCTAAAAACTCATCTATTCCAAAAGCAACCCAAATAACTCTAAAATAAGTTCGAATAAATATTACCATGCCTTCATTATGTCTTTTCAAATTATTGCTCTTACAGATATAATGTGTTAATGTTAGTAATGCTTGATCTTCTTGGTAATTTAAGTAATGTTAATTTGTTAAGTTATGTTAGAAATATTTTATCTTCTTGTTAATTTAAGTAATGATAATTTGTTAAGTTATGTTAGTAATATTTTGTTTTCTTGGTAATTTGAGTAATGTTAATTCCATTAGTAACATTGATTTTTTGTTTGAAGTAATTTTGATTTGTGTACATGTACAGCGCTTTAAAACTTTTGTCACAAGCGCTATATAAATTTGTCATATTATTATTATTATTAATGTGTTTCTTTCTCTCTCTATCTCTCTCTCTCTCTCTATACTGCTCTCTCTCTCTCTCTCTCTCTATCTTGTCCTCTCCCCCTCTCTTTCTCTCTCTTTCTCACTCTCTCTCTCTCTTTCTCTCTCTCTCTTGTCCTCTCTCTCTCTCTCTCTCCCGTGCTCTCTCTCTCTCTCTAATGCTCTCTTTGTCTTCTTTGCAGCCTTATTTGACTAGTAATGTTTAAATGATCTGTTTTTTAATTATAATGTCAAGGAGTCCATTGTTTGTTATGAACATTTTGAACAAGTTGATTTTCTGATGTTTTTGAAATATGGATCAATAAATAATTTGAATCTGAATCTTGTCTGTCAATAATGACCTAAACCTTATTCTTGATTACAATGTAAACAATGATGATGATGATGAAGAATATTAAAAAAGATGATGATGATGATGATGATGTTGTAAACTCTAGAAATTGTACATGTATTATACCATAGTTTGTCTCAAAAACAGGAGATGTTTATCTAGATACATGTAGAAAGATATGGAGAGAGGGAGAGAGAGAGAAAGAGAAAGAGAACGAGAACGAGAACGAGAAAGAGGAGAAGGAGAAAGAGAAAGAGAAAGAAAAAGAGAAAGAGAAAGAAAAAGAGGAGAAAGAGAAAGAGAGAGAGAAAAGGAGAGAGAGAAAGAGAAAAAGAAGGAGAAAGGGAAAGGGAAAGATAAAAAGAGAGAGAGAGAGGGAAAGAGAAAGAGAGAGAAAAGGAGAGAGAAAAGGAGAGAGAAAAGGAGAGAGAAAAGGAGAGAGAAAAGGAGAGAGAAAGAGAGAGAAGTTGAGAAAGAGATAGAGTTAGAGAAAGAGAGAGAAAAGGAGAGAGAAAGAGAGTGTCATCACTTACCACAGGGTCGTGCTGGATACATAATGGACCATCTGGGTGAATGGAAAAGGTTCTGATGTAGCACCACATTTGCAAATACTCTGTAAGGAAGAGAAATGTGAAGTTGTTAACATTTAAAGCCCATCTGCACTAGTTTGGCCAGGAGGGATTAGACCTCCCTGCATGGTCACTGGCAGGTGGGTATCTCATCAAATCAGCTCTCAATGAACATTTTAAAAAGGGGACCATCAACAATATCAACGAGTACCACTTAGGCATTGTTGGCTATATAGAGGGCGCAAGTAGCTACAAGTAGTGCAGTCCTGCTTTAGTGTATTTCGCTAAGAATGTGCCCCATCAAAGTCAATATCTTACAACTGATAGAATTTTCTGTTCACAGACAGACAGAATATTGCTTTATTTCAAGCTTTACTGTACATGAAGATGCGTGAAATGAGAATAACATATTATTACTGTTTTCTCTCTCTCTCATTCTTTTAATTTTCACACTCCTTATCTTTTTCTAACTGGTTTTCACTTCACTCTCTGAGTTAATGAGTGGATTAAATAGTAAAAGTAATACCTATTTTTTGTTGTTGACAACTTTTACAATAAATTGCATGTTATATTGCTTATGGAGGCCTAATCTACACAAATACAATACTACAGTCAAACCTGTCTGTTAAGGCCACCCACAGAAAACTGGTAGGTTGGCTATTGTACACAGATGGCCTTTCTAGGCAGGTTCTACAACACACCTTTCATCTACTACAGGAGGGCAATCTAGATGGCCACTACAGCCAGGTGGCATTTATGAGGTGGCCACTAAGACAGGTTTGAATGTAAGTGCCAAAGGAACTGGCAATATGAATACTCACATGTTCAATAAGTGTCATAGCAAACTTGCGGTGAGGGATGCAATGTTTCGCATCACATAGGTCCTCCTTGATGTTATGGGCTAGATGAAAGTGGATCCGCACCAGAATGTTTTCCTTCAAAGAAAACAGAACAATAAAGACGTTTTTACATACATGAATTATTTGAAGGATTTCAAAAGTGTTTTCTGATGTAAGCTAGGGAAGAAAATTATAATAATTGTAATGATGACAAGAATAAATAACAAAAATTGTGACTTCATATGCCCAGACACTCTGAAGTCTTCTTTAGATATGAACAGTAAACTGAGGTGTTTTTTCTCAAATGTGTAAACTGATGTAAATCCAACAAAGAACCTCTGCATATTTGCTGAGTTCTGTGTGTTTAGATACTGAAAAGTAAAGCGTATAAAGACATCATTACATAAACATTTTAAAAACGCTATGTACCGTGACATACCTGAATGAGGTTTAAGTTATTGATGCACAATATATTTTAGGATTTGTTTCAAACAACTTGATGTCATCACTGTGAAGAGAGAGATATCTGTCAAGAAAACTCACCATCAAAGCAAAGATACAAATGTATATCCCCTCCCCTCCCCCAGTCATTATACTTACAAAGCAATATACAGTACATTATGCTTTCCAATATAAAACCATTCTGCAGCATCAATACATCCTAGTTGGAATAGCTGGATTTGTAGCGGATGCACCCACCCCTGCCCCACCCTTGCCCCGCCCCCATCCCAGCCATTAAACCACAATTAGCACTCAGCAACATTGTTAATATGTCCGAGTTGAAAGCTTAGCTGATGCCCCCCTCCCCCTATTCCCCCCTTGCCCCACACCTTGCCACTATACTTACAAAACACATGTACATCCCAGTGGGACTCGTAGCTGATGCAACCCCAAAATCTACTCCTGCCCCACCCCTGCCCCACCCCTGCCCCACCCCTGCCCCACCCCTTGCCCCTATACCTACACAGCACTCTCCTGCATCATCCAAACATCCTAATTGGAAGCTGAGCTGACGCCCCTACCCTACCCCTACCCCACCCCATCCAGAGCCACTATACTTACAAAGCATTCTGCTGCATCATCCATGCATCCCAGTTGAAAACGTAGCTGATCCTTGAAAGCAGTAGCAAGAGCTTTTCTCAGAGCATCAGCCGGTAATGCAGTCTCTTCACTGTGCTGTAGCTGGATGAATAACGCCTAAAGAAAAGAAATTAACCCACTCATTACCGAATTCTCTCACTGCCATAGGCTTAATACGGGGACCACCCGGTTCCAGTAGGCTATGGGTTAAAGCCTGTATGTACTAATTTGGCCAGGAGGGATTAGACCACCCAGCGTGGTCACTGACAGGTGGCTATCTAATCAACTCAGCTCTCAATTAACATAAGAAAAGAGGATCATGGATGACCAACGGGCACAGCTTAGGCATTGTTTTCTACATGTATATAGAGGGAGCAAGTAGCTACAAGTAGTACAGTGGGGCTTTAAACAGTTTGACTAGATACATTTCTATTGCAATACACTGATTCATGTATAAATGCTGACTAAAGCATCAGTGCCTAAAATTCATTCACTTATATCCATTTCTGTATTATAATCATTTTGTATACAGTAATTCACATATTCAAGTGGAATATAATTTATTTTGAATGTATAATTGAATAAAGATCATGGAAAATAAAATTGCCATCTTAGAACAGCATTTCCACATTCTTTTCAAAACTTTTGAAACGGCTATCCTACTGAAACGGTTCAGGGGCAAAATTATGATCGAAAAAGCAACATCTCCTACATATACATGTACATGTATATGTCATGTGATTGAAAATCAAATTTTTTTTTTTTTAATAAAAAAATTATATACATGCACAACAAAGTGAAATGTTATATTTCATTGGTTTCCTCAAATCAGTGAAAGTAAGTTGGAAATACAATATAGCCTACATTTTTATATTATGGAGGCTACTATTTTATGCTTGCACTTTGCAGATATTGAACACCATCATCATACCCATGTACAGTGTATTTGTACATGACTTGTGCAAAATGTACGGAAACTGAAAACTCCTGCGTTCTCATTGTAGTACTTGTACTGTACATGTTTCTGGAGACAACTTGGACTGTTTTTTTTTCTCCCAATGAAAAGAAAACAATTCTTTGTTTATACAGCACAGAATGCTGAGGCACAGTATGTATTAGTCTGCATGAATGCTTTCAAAAGTATCATTGTAGTTTCAGAACAGGGTTTCAAATCAAAATTAAAAATGGTCTATTCAAACAATCACACAGATATAAGAATTAAATGAAGGCATATACATGTACATGTACCTGTTTGGAGCCAGAAGGGCGTTAACTATATACTTTGACACTGTGTTTATGCCCTTCTGGCTCTGAACAGACAATGACATAGAGAATACGAAACCTTACTGAGATAACATTATGATATCAGGGGAGTGTTTCACAAAGACTAAAATCGACTTTAAGTTGGACTTAACTATTGCGGGCCGTTCATGCCACTATTTTCTCTCATCATTTACTGGCATTGGTTTCTCAAGGGACGTACCAATCATGGTCACAAATCTACCAAATTTCATTTTTTGATAGTTCATTATTGAAGGAAAAAATATTATCTAAAGATCATAATTGAGAGACCGATGGAGAGAGCAACCAGCAACGTGAATGGCCTGCCATAGTTGAGTCCAATTTAAAGTTGATCTTAGTCTTTGTGAAACACCTCGAAGGAAGAGCAGGAAATTATTACAGGTGCATGACCGAGAGTATGTACATGCCTTTTTAATTTTGTCTCACCTTACAAATATCATAAAACAGTGAAACCTGTTTAAGCAACAACCTGTATGTGAAGACCACCTGCCTACATAAGATCACATTTCCTGTTTCCTTGAATAGTGTTTCTCATTGAAGCATACATGTACTAAATTAACCTGTACATAAAGACCACTTGCCTATAAAGATGAGGATGGATCCACAAACTACAAGCACTGCTTTTTAGTGGATCCCCCCATTTCCTCAGAAATTAAAAATTTCTTTTAATAATTTCTTTTAATTAATTATTTACCGATATGTGTACAGTGTACCGGTATCTGTATACTTATCAAGATAAAATTAATGAATATGCACATATACTTTTTCATACTTTCTGGAAAAATATCTGTAATGCCTTTGTTTATCTTTCTGTTTGAAATGAAATAAGTATGAATTGAATTGAATTGAAAAGATCCATTTTCTTGTGTCCTGTGAGCATGTGAATATTTCATCTTGTCCTACATTATCTACAACTAAATGTTTGGATTTCTTTTTAAAAATGCTCTCAAGATTTGATTGCTACAGTATGAATCAATAAGATCATAAACAGTGAACCTGTCTATAAAGACCACCCCAGGGAGATTAAAAAGTGGTCTTTATGGGCAGGTGGTCTTTATGTACAGGTGGTTGCTAATGCTATTAAAAGCAGGTTTGACTGTACCACCAATACACAATGTAACTGAAACTCTTCCCTATTCAAGAACAAAATAAAAGATGAAATAAAGGGCAATCCAACATTTGTATAAAAGCAGAAAAATAAGAGAAATACAATGGCTGAAGTTTAAAATGAATCAGAGTATCAGACTGATAATAAGAAGTTATGAGCGTTTGAAATCTGAAATCCCTAAAGCTATGCAATCTCAAATTGGCAGTTTGGTCAGTGGATTTTTATGTATACATGGACAACTCTCCCATTTGTTACAGTATGTACAAAAATATCATTCGTTTCCGTTTTTCTCCTAAAACACCTTCTCCCTTGGGGCACTTCTCAAAATATATTGTGGATAGCTAAAAAGAAAATATATTCCTGTGTCGTGGATTTTGAAGAAAAAATGAAATGAAATTCTAGTCAAATTTGTGTATTGGAACAAAAGTTGTCTAGCACAGATGAGCAGACTAGCCCTATTAAATTGTATGCCATGGTGACACTGTCGATTCAGCCAATTTGAAATTCCAATATGTATCTACAGTGATTACAACATTCAAAAATTTTGTTCTTAGTTTTTGTCAACTTTCATTCAAACTTGAACCAGTCTGCTTCTATGATTTGTACAATACATGTATTTTATTATCAAGGTTCGATTTCCTGTAAGTCTAGTCTTAAAAAAAGAAACATAGGAGTTAGACAAAATGATTATTTTACCTTTAATGCACAGAAGATACAAGATGTGCCCATACAGGCATGGCCATGCATCTCACGGAAACTCCTCCTGAATACATCCAGATGCCATAACACCTAGAATATAGCAGGGAAAAAAAACACTTTAAAATTCTTAATTTCAAATATATTTTCATGCAATACACTTTTTCAGATAAAAAATACATGTTACACTGCATCCATCATTTAAATATAAAAGCAAATTTCTTAAGGAATACAGTTTTTTTAAAGTCAAAAGCTTAAAGAAAATAGAGTTTCTCCAAAAATGAAGACAATCAGGATATGTCAAAGAGACTATAAATACTTTTGATGTACATGTACCAGTATCTACAATTTTACGTGTAAATGTACACAGGTAAAATGCAGGTTAAGAATGCCTACATTTTTGACAAATTATACATTTGTTTATATTCATATACATGTATACTAAATTTTGTTTTGTTTAGATTTAGGACCAGATATACATGTACAGTATGTACCCAAATTATTGCGTTTCTCTCATCTATCTTAAAAAAAAGGCTTATTCAACCCAGATACATACATGTAGCAGTTCAGTATCTCCTTTTAGTGACCTTTTAACATAACCTTTGACCTAGAATTATAGGAATGATACATTACATGCATGAGCAGAAAGAACAAATATTAAAACAACAAAATTTTCAATGTAGTATACGTTCATTGCGCTGTACATAAATAAGAATTATTTAATTGTTTGTATGTAATCATTACAGTCTTTAATTGGCATCACAGTGTGAAGATCATACCGGTATTCACTATTTTCATGTACAAATTGGCAAATTTTTGTTGTATGTAATAGTAATTTTCATCCACAGTGGTTCATTTTTCATTTTTATTTTTTCAACGATGGAGGAGCGGAAATAAAATTTCCAAAATAGATTTATAAGTAGTTAGCCCTTCAAAATATCGTGAACTGTTCTTGAACCATTACATCCACGACCTTTACAATCAAATAGTGTGTATCCCATTTAGATGCATTTTGAAATTACATGTGTAAGCTTGTTGTAATCTAGAAAATAGTCAAATGCATGCGAGAGATGGGTTCGTTTTGTTCCAATCAAGTGGCTTAAATTGTTATTTTGTGGTATAACCATTTGGTGTTTATCAATTTAGTGATTAAACTAATCAGTTCTTGAACCATCAAATCTACTACCTTTACAATCAAATAGTGTGTATCCCATTTAGATGCATTTTGAAATTACCTGTGTAAATGTAGCCCTGCTTAAATGGAATCTAGAAAATAGTCAAATGTATATTATGCGAGAGATGGGTTCATTTTGTTCCGATCAAGCGGCTTAAATTGTCATTTCGTGGTATAACCATTTGGAGTATATCAAGCAATTTAGTGATTAAAACTACTCAGACAAAAGTAATGCCTTCTCCCAGGAGTGCCATTTACATGGATTACAGATATACCTAATGGCTCATAGCAAAGAGGATTCCCTCAATTGTATGTTCCTGCACAATTGAATGCTTTGGTGTGTTGATGAGATGGGAAAAGAGTACACGCTCTCTTTTAATTTCTCTTCCATGTGCTCTAGCCATTGTGCATTGTCACTTTGGTGCTGTTACAGCTCATCGTCACCACTATTTATCTCTCTTTATCACTATCTATCTTATCGTCACCACTATTTATCTCTCTTTATAATCTATCTTATCGTCACCACTACATGTACATGTATGTACATGTACGGCAAAAATGAATTCAAATAATGCTTTCTATTTTTTAAATAGAATGTAGACAAGATCTACATTAAAGATAAAGTCAATGGTCATGCATGCAAATCTATACATACAGCAAGGGACAAATGTATTTTTACATTATTATTAAAACAAAAACTTAACAAAAATTGATACAGGCCTACTGAACATGTACAGTACAGCTTACAACTGAATTGTTCATATAATACCAATTTTGAAAATTGTGAAAAATTGCTTTATCCTGATTTATTTTTCTTAAGAATAAGAAAGCATACAGTACAGTACTAAATTTATCGACAGAGACCCTAGTTCAACCAGTCCACCTTTCGTTCTTGAGTTACGAAAAACACAACAAACATCAAATTTACAAAGGGTATGAATGATCTAGTTGTTACACATCCAGATGTACACTATGCATGGTAATCTGTACTCCACTCTACAGATACATGTACATGTACATGTATTACATCATAAGTTAAAAATAACGTCATTACAGAATACAGATAGATGTAGATGATAGACATGTATCACTTCATTGGAATGCTACATGTAGGAGAGCTTTCTCTTCGGCCCTCTCTTCGTCTATTCAAATCAAACAAACCACAAAATAGTACACCGTACTACTCCATTGATTGAATGAACAAACATTGGTTATAGCGTGCCACAAACACAATGAATCAGCTGATCGTGCGTAATCCTCTGCATCATCCATTACATACAGTGTATGATGTATTGGCAACATGAGGCCATAATCACGTTCAAGCTCTAGCTTAAGATGTCAGTCTCCTGCATTTGTCAATTTTGACATGATACATGTACATGTTGTCAAGTGTCAAAATCATAAATTTTTTGAAAAGTATAACTATGTAAATTTATTTGTATTATGATACGATTATATACATGTATGTATTTTGACTTTCGCATTGTACAATTTTGAAATAATATGTTGACAAGTACTACCGGTATGTTTTTTTTCAAAGGTGTAATTATGTACCCCTGGCAATTGAGTCATATATTATGATGCAATTATATATGTATTTTGACTTTTGTTAATAATATTTATACTGTATGAACCTAGTTTGTATATTACTTTTTATTATGTTAAAAAATGCAGAACCAAAATCAAACAACCTCTAGCTTTCCTCTCTCACCCTATTTTCACCCCATTTTCAACCCTTTGCAGTTCAGAGTTTTCTCATGGTCTAAATGAATCAGTTTTTCACTCCTCAAATTGGTAAGGATTATTCTTATTGTCCACTACTACTGTACATAGTTTGAAATAAGAAGAAGAAATGTTTATTCAATGAATCCAATGTAAAATGAAAATTGCAAAATCAAACTGAAAAATTGCCAATGTGTACACGAAAATGGTGAGTACATTTTTACACATTAAATCGCTCTCATTTGAAAACGACACAACGTACTGCACTGGAAATAGACTCAAACTTGTCTGTGATTTTTAGCTCTTTCTGCTCATATATAAAGTGCAATTCTTAGCATTCTGGATCAAAAATGTCACTAAAAGGAGGCACTGTACTGCTATGGGTTAATTATCCATGCAGTCAAAACAAAAACAATGAAAGTACAAAAATGAGAGGTCAATAATATAGCAACAATATTTTTGGCACACCTGCAATCTATTAAAGTTAATGGACCATTGGATCATTTAATTATTCACCAGTAATTGATTTTGTCATGCTTAATTAATATAGATCTTTGAAAGCATCTAATGCATACTTTCCATTTAAAATACATTCTTGAGGTTGTATGTGAAGTTGTGAACAGGAACCAATATGGTGTACTGTATAACAGGCATAACAAAAATGTTGACTCTTTTTTTTTTTAAATTGATTAACTCTAAACATAAAACTTATGCCAATAAATATCAAGCCAAACTGTACACAATAAAGACCTTTTTTGAGTACATGTAAGTTCCTAGTTATTTTCTTAAAATAATAGTTCCCACATAATGATACATGTATGAATTTGAAATTACATTTGCACCTTATTACAAACAAAGGACATCAAATCTTCTGAGTATCATAAGACACTAGTGCATACATAAATGATATTTTGAGAAGCGTTATTTTACTAGCTCAAAATATATAATGCCATCTTCAACTTTGTAATGAGCAAAGTCTATTAAAGTTTGTACATTGTGTTAGATACATCTTTCACTTATCATGACTCAAAAGAAGTTTTTTTAAACACCTCCGGTAGTACATTCGACCTTTTGACTACTGTACATTGAATAATTTTTTGTTGAGATATAATATCATATAATATGAGTAATATATGGTAATATTGAGTAATATATGGTAATATTGAGTAATATATGGTAATACATGTGGTAATATTGAGTAATATATGGTAATATTTACCTGTACAGCACTGTTCAGAAAGCAGTTGTTATCTCCAGGTGCGTTCAGAAGTCCCTTTGAGAAGATGACCGACGTTGTATTTCCAGGTTTGAAAATGTTTCTCGAAGACTGCGAACGAGGTCTGACTCGATTAAAGTTTTCCTTCACCCAAGCGGCCATGATGATAGACAATGAAAATCTCTAGCAAATTTGTTTTTTCAAAATCTCAAGAATTTGACGAAGGCATAATCAAAATAATCTCTCCTATTGTTTACTTTGATAACTTCTGAGTCATTCTAGAAATATGTTGCATGAGTATGTACATGTAGCTGTAGTTCTCTGTGTTGCCTTTCTACATGTAAATGCAGCGATGTTGGTTGCAAAGAAGAAATATTCATAAAATTCACAGGAGAACGTTGATTTTATCCATGGCAAAGCGTGATGTTCACTGTTCCAAAAATGAGCAGTGATGGTGATCTGAAGAGTTTAGTTGTCAAATTCACCGGATTCTACTCTTGACTTGAAGCATGTTTGCAGCGATCCTCTTCAATGGTGTGTGTCAAATTCCTTGAGAGAGTGGAGCCCCTTCTTCATCCATTATTCATGAGACTTTCTGTATTAAGCTATCGTCCAGGTTTATTTTCAGTACAATGCTCCTCTGTTAGAATGCAATTTAATCACACAAAGAGTTCTGATGTAACAAGACTATCAGTTGGTTGTTGGTTCTCTTTGGTTTTAGAAAGCAAGATTAGTTGTAGCAGTTGCTCCTCTATATCGCTTTACTATTAATCCAACATCATTCTTGGTGTATTTTCAATCTAATCAACCAAACACAGTTCAGGGAAAATCACAAAGGTAACCCATTTTCCAATGAAACCACACAATTACAACTCCAAAATTATCCCTCTATTATTTCCATCGCATCCACCAAGGATTATTCTTTGACCTCCTTCCAGAAAAAACACGCCGCGGTTTGCCTCTGGACCTTTATGCGGAGCTGGAGAAGCGGCCGACTTGTTTTGATAAGATTCTTGATTTGATATTGTGTTTTGTGGGCAGTAATAATAGAAACGATGGGTATCTGCTGTGGCCCTTATTCCCACTCTTTATCATTCAATTTCAAAGAAGTGGGTTGCTTTTTCTGTGTCATGGACAACGAGCAAAGTGATCATGTGATTTCTATTGAGAATGTGTGGGAATGGCATGTATCCTCTTCACGTTTGAACACCCCCTCGTCCTTAACAACGTTTAAGATTGACGGCAAGTAGTGTCGTTTCAATCACTTCCAAGCTTCGGTGAGAACACCTATAGCATCCGACTCCCTCTCTCCTCCTCGTGTCGATGTTTAAGGTACCATGACAACGGCAAGTTGTTGAAGATTCTGGAACACCAGCCTTAAATGCACAGGGTGATTGCTTTAGCTTCCTTGTAATTCCTCTCCTACGGCATGACGAGGCCTTTTCTTTAGTTGATTCTGTGTATAAATGAAGAAAATATATGACAATTAATTTAAAGTGACTCAGTAACATTTGCCTCAGATTCTGAAACAAAATCCTGGATTTTGCTCATGCTGCAATCATAATTATCAAACTTTGGGTCAGTCAGGAATCCCATGACTTGTACAAGCCGATCGTCTGTCTGATTATCAAGATATTTATGATTGTAAATCGAAATCAAATTTTGTGTTTTCCTAAGAAGCCGACTTTAAAAGAAGTCAAGTTAAAGTTGACTTCAATAGAATACCACAAGATGTTACGATTTCATCAATTTTCATCCAAAACAAAAACACAACAAAGAGCATCTACATGTAGCAACAGAAAGCACCTGAATAAATATGACATTCATGTTATGGTAAGGCATCATATCAAAATATACAGTGTACATGTACAGCACTGATAACACTATGTTTGAATTACATCAGTCTTACTTCACAGTAGTCAACAATAAAATATTCTCAGAGATAAGACACCTTTAACAGGCCTGTTATCATCAGACCGAAGTTGCAAACTAACACGCTGTTATAACTAGCCCGATCTCAAATGAGCCAGCTAATTTTCGTCTTCATCAGCCCGCAGTTGCAATTTGTGGGCTATTACATGTAGGTCAAGAAAATTTTTTGAGAAACCTTGGTCTTGGGAAATAGCGGGCTAATTTGTGTCCGTTCGAGCTAGTTTGTGATGAGCTTATCGGTCTGGTGAAAACGCAATTTTGTGCTTCGGGAAAATATTCTGAGTCTGAAAATAGCAGTTTATTTTGCAACTTCGGTCTGATGAAGGCAGGCCCTATGTGCTAAATTTACCACAGCTATTCAGCTAATGTATCAAAGCAACTATTGCTGACTTCAAAAGTTTCCCATACAATAAAATTAACCTTGGCCCATACCATACAACAAACAATACTTTATTGATCATGTTGCCTCCAAACAATTCTAATGCCTATGCTTACATTTTTTTTTCTCTACATTTTTATTTGAAAGATTTACTGTAGTGATTTGTACCCCTCTTTATGACTTACGGTAGATGTTGCCAAATGGACAACATAAAGAAATATTTGTTATATTCATTATATAATATGACCTTGTCCTTTACTAATTTTGCCTGAAAGTTGCGTTTAAAAATTTGTACATATATTTCTAAATAGGCACAAGATAAGAAACATCGGACAAAGACTCCTATTTCTCGGCAAATATAAAACAATTCCTGTATTAAGACCAGATACAGTACATGTATGTACGTGTACTTGATATACATGCATAGACATGTTGTATACAGTTTATGTACATGTATACACATACATGTCAAAGTCATGACACTGTACATGGGTTGTATACAAGACGACTCCTTGTGCATTGTATCCTTTGGAGCAAAGTTCAACATCAAAGCTAACAATGACAAGAAAGAGATATGAAAATAATTCATCAGCTTTGAATTCTGGCCAATGATGATATGTCCCCTACAGAGTACACACATCAGCCCCCAAAGAAGGATTGGAATTCAATTGTTACAATACAAATTCCTTTCAAATAAATACATTACCGGTACCGGTATTTATAAAGCTGTACTTGATAGGGGAAATGTATGATTAAGCCTTCATTATTTCCTGCATTGAAGGGCACACAATCGATCGCATGTCTCTGCTTTCTAGCAGATTGTGCAGAGCAGCCATGCTGTAGTTTAATGCACAATTCCCCAGTACTATCTGGAACTGGGACTGGAACTGCAACATTTTAAAATAGTCCATAGTTTGGTTGATGGATCTATCTCATATTTCTCTTCATCCTGATTTGAAATTAAAGATTTAAAAAAAATCCTGACTGGGAGGCAGAGGCTCAGGGTATGAAATGTTTTTCATGACTGAACAGATAGTTTGTACCTTTGTAGAGGATATGAAATATGTTGAGAACAAAAATTGAATGAAAGTGGAATAAAATGATGATGATGATGATGATATATTTCATTTATTTTCATAAAAAATATCTTAACAGGTCGACTGGATGCCCTTTCAACATTGCATTGGTATTAGTGGGCCCTGTGATGATGATGATGATGATGATGATGATGCTGAAGATGGTGATGTTCCACTCTTTCTCCTTTTGAGGAAGCTCTATTCTTCCTAGTACAGCTACATTGTATATATTCCAAGTAATATCTTCTACATGTACATGTATATCTATAGCACAAAATCCTTTTCTCTTTCTCCTTCTAAAATATGGTTCCATCAAATACCCTACATGTACCTTGCTGTTCATGATGAATCTAGATGATACAAATATCCTCTCATCCATGACATCTAATTTTCCATGCTCCATTGCTGATCCAATAATCATAATTTATAACCTTGGCACTTTACCTCTACAGAGTGATTTTTGCAACCATAAAATAAGACTTGAGTGGAACCCTGATAATAATAATAATATTCCGCATTTATATAGCGCATAATACATCGATGATTACAGATATGTTTAATTCAAAACGATGCTCAAATAAGCACTTTGTTATACAATGTCTTGTTATTTGCTGTTTCTGTACATATGACATACAGAATATAAGAAAAAAAGATAATTACTTTTCATATACGGGTAGCTAAATATGATACTCACATATACATGCACATTGGCTATACAATGAATTCTGGCAGTCTAAATACAGTGTTAAAAACTGATTGTAAAAACAAAAGGATGGTATAATAGATGCGTCTGGGAGACACACACAGTCCAGTGGTTTCTGTGAATGTCCCTCAGGGTTGCATTCACTCGCCGCAGTCTGTTAGCACCTTCCCATTAGACAGTCCACTGTCAGATGAATATTGATTGACACTTTCAAATCAATATTCTCAAAGTAGCCAGCCATAAACTGAAATGCTAAAGAGGCTCATGATAATTGATAAAATGTTGGGAAGGGAGTAGTGTACTTGTACATGTAGTTTGCAGGTATAAACACTTGAAAGTAGCTGTGTGTAACGGTGTCTGCAGTAAAAGACTACAGTAGACTATATATTTGAGCCAACACAGCCAGACAATATTTTAAAGTAGCCAACCATAAACTCAAATGCTTAAGAGGCTGATGATAATTGATATAAAATGTTGGGATGGGAATAGTGTAGTTTGCAGACAAAAACCCTCACCAGTAGTTGGACGTAACAGTGTCTGCACTATAGACTACAGTAGGCTCTGTACTTTAGCAAACACAGACAGAGACTGAAATTTGTAGGCTCTGCTCAAGGCAGAAAAGCTTTAGGAATATTGGTAAAGTGTCAAGTTAGAGTCTGTGATTGCAGAATAGGAATAGTGTAAGGAACAAGAATGAGAGATAAGCTGAAGGTTTTCTGTAGGATTCCACATAATGGCTTTAAACAAACATTAAACTTCATATATCTGTGACACCTTAAATATTTTAAAACTACAAGTTACAGTACATGTATCTGCTACCTGTGACTTAATTGCCAATATCACTTTGAAACCAATTTATCCCGCAATGTCAACTGATACTAATAGTCCGATACAAATAACATTCTTCCTCCCCCTCTTCCGATCTACCACATCCTCTTTCCTATTCTTAATATAATTATTCTGATGTGAAAAAAATAAAAACAAACAGACAAACAAGACAAACAAAAAAAAAAGGGAAAAAGAAAGGAGTGTTAGATACACAATGATCCTCTTTAATACTGTAATCTATTTTTATCTGTTCCTGGTATTCCCGATTCAATTTCTGCTTTGGGGGAAACACCTCCTTGTTTGCAATGTTAATGGGTTACACTTTAAACATTATTTTTGTCAGAAGGAAATGAATGTGACTTTCATGTCATTTCAGTATAAATGTACACATGTCAAAGTGATCAGGCTATTACATGTATGTACATTCAGTTTGCAAATGACACACATCCACACAACCAGTGAGAAATGAAATCGCAATAGCCATATATAAAGCATGTGCGTCACATAGTGATTCAATTTCATAAATTCTAATTCTGATAATTTCTAATTTGGACTCGCTAATGAATCATATTACAAATAAGCCAGACAATTATCTTTCTGGTTTCCTCCGTCATCATGATCCATTTCTCTCTTTCTATAAGACTATACTGACAGCATACAACATACGGTACATGTAGGCTCTTTCCTTTCGCTGCTTCAGACACAGCCAGAGATTTCAAAAATTAAATCTTTGAAAGTCATCACATCATGGAGTGCTTTAGACTATGAATTAGCGATATATGCAAATAAGAAGGGGATCTATAAAAAAATCCTGAAAGTTCAGTAGTCCTGAGATATGCTTTGAATAGCTTCATGTTTACATGTACGTTGAAACGTAGAGTAGTTATGCCTCAAACATATTTCCAACATTGGTAATATTGATACATGTAGGCCTTCCCAATGTAAGCTCCACCGAAGGCAATGTACTGTATGCAAGTCTCTTGGACGTCAGATCAATAAAACTGACCAGTCTGACTCCCTTTGGATTATACATGTACATCAAACATGTAGCTTGCAGCAATTTTTTTTTAAAAAAGAAGAAGAAAAAAGGGGGGAGTAGAGAGCGATTTACATGTAGCACCAAATTATATCTTCAGAAGCACTTACATGTAGGGCCTAATTGAGAAAGAAATTTTGTTCATTAAAGCAATTTAAAGGGTTTCTTTTCTATATTATACAAAAATAAATTCATAAAAGAAACCAAACAAAACAAACAGAAAACAATCAAACAGACTAATGGACAGAAGGGGAAAAAAAGGATTTTCTTTTTTTTTTTTCTTTTTCTTTTCCTCCCCCCAACCAGTAGCAACATGTACAAGGTAACTCAACTATTTTGATTGCTATGGACTTTCCCATACATGGGAATAACTGAACTGTGCGACGAGGAGTTGAAGATTGCAAGCTAATACTCATGAAAGATGAAATATAATGGTTTCCTACTGTGAGCTGGTGGGATGCTGTCCACAGGATGGCAATCAGCTGTCTAAATAATTCCTCGG